CCGTAGCCTGGCGCTGGACGGCGGCAAGTAGTTCGGCTGCTCGTCCACTATTGGTCCAGATTCGACCAATCCTGTCGCGACACGAGTCGGCGATGACGTTTTACCGTATTATACGAGTCTCTTTTAGCGTTTTTATATAAATACGATCGCAACTTTTTCGCCGTTATATACGAATCCGTATTATATGAACCCGTTTTATAGGGGTCTACTGTATTTGTCATTCAATTTTTCTTTTTCTGTGGCGATGGGTGCATTGTTGTACTCTAGTTAAAATCCAACTTTTTGTTTGTGTCCATAAATCACTGGGTTGTTTGTAAAGAATACAGGGTCTAAATTTCGGAAAGTCTGTTGTAAGATTGAACTAGCTGGAGTCTCAAGTCTTGAGTTGATCTTTGAGATTTTGTGTTGTATGGAGTTTTAATGTTACTTCCGGTTTTGGTAGCTTATGATCAGAGTTTCAGAATGCTCCAGGTCTTGTTCTGACATTATTTACTGATAATCTCTATCTTGTTCTTATTAACACGTAATCAATTTGGTTTTTATATTCACCTGTTGGGGAGGTCCAAGTAGAAAGACTCAGATAACGGTGTTTGAACATGGTGTTAATTATTGAAAAACTATTATCAATTGCAAACTGAAAGAGTCTATTTCCTTTTTCATTTATGGTGCCCAGTCCAAATTGTCCTATAATGCACCGCAGATTATAATTTTTTTTATTGCTTTAGCATTAAAATCTCCCATCATTGTCAATATGTCCTTCTGTGGTATTTTTATGATGATATTTCCTTGTTTATATATGTTTAGATAATGAATTATCAATATAGACGTGTGAAACGATAGTTCAGTTTAGAAGAAAATTTTATCTATCTGATAAATTATTTTCAACGATTTCTCATTAATTTTGTTCTAATAAACTCTTCAAATAGATGATATTTTTCAAAATCAAAAAATCTGAATTTTTAAATATATTTTGTAATTAAATATCTGTCTTGGGAAATTTTGCAGGTTTTTGTGACTGCAAAATCGTCTAAATTACGTTCTCTTTTCCTTATGAATGAAAAAATCATTTGAAGAACTGACACTACACGTTGGTATAAACTTTTCTGTTTTTTGTTTTCTGATTCCATTATTGGTGTTTCAGCGTTGTCCGTTTTGCCATTTTCTTCGAGTTGATCGGGATCTTCAGTTTTATGTTCTTTAGCATCCATAGGAATAACGCTATCAACTTCGACATCCGAATCTTCAGTGTTGACGGAGAATTCATCTGAGAATTAGTCTGCTTCACTCGAAAACTCCTCCATAAAATTTTCTCAAGATTCTAGAGAAGTGATGCTATCTTCTTTTTAAATTACGTTATAAATCATTTTCGATTTCTATTCCTAATTTATGAAGAGACTAGTTGTTAGCCGCGACTTCGCCCGCGTGGATTTTGCAAGCGAACACCATTTATATTCAGTATTTCAACAACCATAGTAATTGTTATATAACACCTACCGCTGAGAATAAAACGAATTGTTTTCAATTTGATAAATTTTCTGGAACATTTACAATCTACATAACCCATTGAACGCGTGTCCGTCCGTCCGCGTAAGGATATGCCAAAAAACGGGCACTACAGGCGCCCTAGCGATGATTTTAAATTAACAGTAAATTCTTTTTATTTGTAATAGGATTTTATTACTGATATGAATTTATTATTTATACCACGGAATGGTATAAATAATTATTAATGCCTTGCCTTGCCTTGCCTTATTATATGCCTTGATTAACCTTGCGCCACACGTTTACAACATCCCGTGACTCAGTGAACGTCGCGCATTGACTCACGGGAAATTTGTTGAAAAAATACATTTAAAATCGAGGTTTACAACCGAAGGTAAATAAACAAATTAAACTATTTTAAAGTATTTATAGAATGTGTAATAGGTAGAAATCTAGATCCGTATGACACGATTGAGACTTTAACAGAGCTGTAGAGCATATTGATAGGAACAAAAAACTGAAAGGAACCGTGCCTCATGGGAATTTATAAAAGAATGCCCACTAGGGGGCGTTCCAGTTACTAGTCGTTCTATAATCAAACCAATATGCAATAAAAAATTCGAATTTAAAACGGTTCGAATTTAATACACCTAAGTACTCAATGAAGACTAAATGCAGTTGTAAACAAAAAATCGCATCTAAAATAGTACAGTAGAAACCGTTCTTCCGGTTAAGCCTTAATGCTTTCCCTCTCCCCCGCAAGGGAATTTCGAAAAATCCTTAGTGTGCGTTTTCATAACGTACCCTAACTGTGTACCAAATTTCACCACTTTAGGTTCAGCGGTTTGCTCTGGGCGATGATGAATCAGTCAATCAATCAGTCAGGACAAGTAATTTTATATATTTAGATTGAAAATTCGATGAAATTTAATCTAAAATATTTCCATAACAATTGAAATAGTTTATCTCCAAATAAAAGATATTACCATTGTTATGGGACTTGTTTAATTCTGAATATAGATCTGTGTAAATGATACTCGAAAACAAAATCTCATTAACTGTTTGCATTTGAATAATCAACAAAAGTTTCTTCCAGATTTGGATTGGGCTGACTCGATGGGATAAGACAACACAACACAATAGGCCTATTAAAGGGCTATTAAAGGTCCTCCCGGGATAACTTTCTATGGAAAACTGACTTCTATTTTGGTACGATAGAAAGAAGGGACCATGGCTGAAGAGGGTCGAAGTAATTCGAGCAAAAGTAGTGGTTGACCTCCTCCTGGAAGAGAGGATGGTCAACCACTACTAATTAATACTGCTCTACTGTTAATAGTATTTGAAAAGCAATCCGTGTTAGAGAAGTTGTGATGGCTCCGCACGTGATAGAGTTGCTAACCTTAATGTTCGAAGACTTCATATGACTTGTTTAAACAAAAAAAAAATCTTGTGGAACTAAGAGAATAACTGCTTTTATGTTATATCTACGCAAAAACACACCTTATCTCACTGAGAATTATTTATTAATCGTAACGAACGTTTTTAACCTTTAACCAACTTTTTTATCTTTTATTATTATATTATTTTAAATTGTATATAAATTACTGTAATTTATTCTTTGGATTCAAATACAGTAGCTCAATATTCCAAATAATTTTGTATTTTAAATGTGTTCTTAACTCTTCTAAAGAAAAAAGAACAGTTATCAATATTCTATGATTTTTAAAAACCTGAAGATGGTCTTTAGGACAGCTTGAAAATGTTCGTTATGGTTAATAAATAATTCTCGATGAGATAAGGTGTTTATGCGTAGGTTAAGTTTATACGATGCTTATCAAGTTAAGTATTAATTATTTTATGTTATAATAAAGTGTTTATATTTTGCAACAGATTGTATAAACTATGTTCGGAAGTATATTCTCGTAAATACTGCGTTTATAGAAAAATTAGTGGACTGCAATTTGAAAAAATTGTACACCTAAATTTCGACTGTTGTCCGTCTGTGTGTCTTTCCTCAAACTCGAGAAAGCAGTTAGATAAATGAAAGTCGAAACCAGATATAGAACACTTTGGAGCAGGAGGCCCAGATTAAGTATATAGGATCTTCAGGTTTGGAATGGATGTCACGTTACTTCGATTCAAAATTTTCCCCCGAACGAAGTTAAATAGATAATCGGCAACGCGACACGTGAGCGATATGCCAGAGAGGATACATCCCAGGAAAACTTTTATAGGAAGATGAACCGTATTTAGGTGAAGAAAACCCGGAAAACTCGTGGCTAGCCCGTTTGCCATGCCTCAACCCAGGACTAACTACTAGAGTTGGGTGGTTTTATGCACTCGGCTACTGGAGGGCGCTTATTAGAATTAAGAAAGTACTGTTTAGAAATAAAAAAAAACCAAGTCGTTAGATGTGGAAATTTAAATACTGATAGATTTTTCACAGGGTAACACTTTCGATTGTACGCAGGCAAGTGCTATATGCTACCCCTGTCTGTAATTATATAGCGCGTCTATTTCGTGTTACATCATTATCGTAGTAATTAAGTGAATATAATGTATATCTATTTTAAATTACATCTTTTTTTAATAAGAATTATATTTAGTTTATTATTTTGTTAAATTTTTTATCAATAGATGGCTCTGCGTGTAAAGCCAGCAAATCGAATGTGGATAAAAATTAATTGATTTGTAGAAATCCAATAGATATTTTGGAATGGGATGTACGACATTATCTAAGTTAGGGATATATAAACGTAACTGCCGAGTTTCGTAGCAATTGGTCAAACGGTATAGCGAACAAACATCCGAACAAACATTCTCATTTATATATGTAGATAATAATAATAATAAATAAATAAATACAGGAAATACTCGTTAGATCGAACTCTGATAGCTCGAAATCCCGTTAGTTCGTAACTGTACTGATGTCACAGCCGGTGATATAGAGATTTTCGTGTTAAGGAATTCGGTTACTTCGATTGGTTTATTTGGTTAAGGCAACGCGACACATGGAGATCTGCCGAGGAAAAATCTCCCGGGAGGTGTTTTAAGGGAAACTGACTCCTATTTAAGAGTTACTAACGTGAAAAAATTCGGAAAACTCCACGTGGCCAGCCCGGTTATAAAACTCTCCACTTTTTTTAAAAACCTATCTGGCAATCTGTGAGGTTCTCACCTGACACGTGCTGTTTACCTGCAGTTTATTTATATTATTATTATTATTTATTATTACTTAAAGAAAACAGCATTCTGTATATGTTGCCGTACTCGTTTCCTTAGTAAATTACGTAGTACGATATTTGGCATATTTTACAGAAATATGTAAATCTCGGATAATTCGAAGTCGCGATTATTTCGTCCCTTGAATACCGAACTAACGAGGATTTCCTGTAATAAGTCATTATAAACTTTAAAGTACAGTAGTAAAATTTTTCGTAATTCTTTCGGTATTTATTAAATAATAAACTAGAAAATTCACAAAATGTTTTTAAAACTAGATGATAATTTTTACTTAGGGATGGCGATCAATTCTCATTACTTTGTCGAAAGAATATTTAACGTGTCGAATGCCGAATCGATTGAAAAATATGAAACATTTGAAAAAGAATTGACATTTCCGTCGAATATGTCTGCAGTAAAGTCGAACACAACTTGGTTACCACTGGTAATAAATGATTTTTTTAAAATAATCTTTGATATTTAAAAAAATAAATCAAGATGCATAAAAATATTCGAAATAAAATATCATAGCACTTAATATGCATTGGTTTTGTCAGAATAGTGTATACCAGGGATGACAAACATTTTTGAGCCCGCGTGCCATGTAATAAGCATACTTAGCTTTAAAGATGTTTATGCGTGCCAAAGTTTTAGACTTCGAATTTAACGATATCTAAATAAATAAACGAATACGTTTTAATTAGAATAAATGTAAACACGCTGATTGAAAAAAGAATGATCAGGTTAAATTGAAAGGATGATTTAAAAAGGCAGCATGCCATAGGTTCGCCAGCCCTGGTGTATACCATTACGTCAATTTGACATCATTTTCCATTACAAACATATATGTACAGGAATGACGTCAAACTGACGAAAAATGGATTTGCATTGACACCTGTTACATGTTTTATTTAAAACATGTAACAGGTGTCAATGCAAATCCATTTTCGACACTGTTACATGTTTTATTTAAAACATGTAACAGTGTTATTAAGTTATTAGAATATAAATTTATTTTTTAAATTTCCTAAAGTGCTCCTAGATAAACTTATGAAAGTAATAATGTCAGCATTATAACATTTTTATCATATAATACTAGCTTTGGTTACTAGTTACTATGTTTAATTATGTTTACATTATAACTTTATATATTATAGAATTATATTTTATTTAATACAGAGTGGGCCAAAAGTGGGCATACAGTTAGAAGCCATTTGGGATGTACAGTACTTATCTGTCGTGTATCTCAATCACACAGATGTCCTCCTCATATGCTGATTACTGTATACCTACTTTTGATCCATCCTATATTTAACTTCTTATTTAGTTAAAAATGAGTTAAATATACAGAACATAATTTACTTTTAATTTTTTTCTTTAGAAAGACCAGATTCTCTTTGAAAATACTTCGAATTTTCTAAACGAAAACTCATTTAATATTGAACACAACAGTAGGATTTCATGCGGAGATAAATACGTTCGTCACGCACCTTTTGAGGAAGAAATTTCATTAAAAAGTGTAATTAAAAATGAAGATATTTTGTTTATTCCAAGATCCACGAATCAACAAAAAGACGAAATAGATTTAATTATGGAAAAGCATATTAGTAACCAATTAGAATATCTGACTCAAAATTCAGATTATAAATTGAATGATAATTTAAATAACGAATTAGAACAATTTCCAATGAATAAAAATTATCTCGGATTTAATATACAAAAATTTGGAATAGAAAACACTTTAATAAATATCGAAGGAACCATTAAGGGGTCAAAAATGAATATTCCTCTGAATTCCTCTGATTATAATTATTACAAATGCCCGTCTTGTATTTACTTTACTCAAAAAAGAGATAAATTAGATAAACACATGCAAAGACACGTCATATATGAAGGATATCATCCGTGCGGTAAGAAACGTCAGAAAACAAATATGCCAGCCAAAAGACACAAGCACAATCCAGAAGAATATGAATGTCCCTTATGCCCTTACACTTGTACCGTTTCTGAAGCTTACAAGAAACATCTCAAGATTCATGTTTCTGGAGAAAATCCACTCAAGGTGAAAGTAAGTTGTAAAATATGTGGCAAGGATCGATCCGACGATATAGAAATGGAAGAGCACATGAAAGAGCACAAAAATAAAAAGTATTTCTTGTGTGATTTATGCAATTTTAGCAATTTTCAACTGAAAAAAATTATTCAACATCGTAGAATGCACACGGGCGAAAAGCCTCATTTGTGTCCACACTGCGACTATCGATCGTCTAGAAGAGACAATTTAAGATCTCATGTCAGAAGAATGCATGGGAAAGAGAACATGTATATCGATACATTCGATCCCAAGGGAAATAACTTTTCATTGGAAGATAGCGACGATTTGTTGTAACTTGATGAAACCTTCCAATGTTATTTTGTAGTTAGTTCTTTCATGATTTATTAATATACATTATTTAAAAACCTATCACATTTACTACGTATGCTTTAAACACGTCTTGTTTCACTTTACAATTTACACTTTTATTCATTGTTGATTTATTCGAACGAATTCATCTGTCTATACGTTTATAATATGTAAGAAAAGTGATATAATTTTGGTATGTAAGTTTTAATAAAGCATATATATATGTTACAGTTAAAACCCGATTTTAGTTAAAACCCGTTTTAACTAGTTAAAACTAGTTTTAACTGGATGCCTTTGTTAAAACTAGAATTTCCTAGTTATAACTAGAATTTACTGCCGTACATGTTTTGATTTTAGTTAAAACTAGTTTTAACTTTGAACATTAGTTAAAACTAGTTTTAGCTACATAAATATGTTTGAGNTGAGAGTATCATTTGTAATAAAAAATAGTACATTTACAAATTTACAGATATACTGAAGGGTTATTTCATAAATAAGTTATGTTACGATATTCATTGGTACTTTAGGAGAATGGCGCTATACAGGGTGTATTTTTTTTTATCTTGAGACAATGAAATATCTTAATTGGATCTCATTATTTTGGAAAAAGGTATAAACAAAACTTGTAGGATGTTGAGGGGGCAATAAATTGGTGACCTCAGGCGTAAACTTGGAGGTCAAATCCGTTTTTTCAATGGGAACACATATTTTGAACGATTTTGTTTAGCATTTTTCATTTAATAGCAACGAAATGAATGGATAGATCAAATTCGTGTTAACTTTGTTGTGAACAGATTTTAAGAAGCGCTTATTTGGCGAACCTTCGGTTAAAAAAGGCAGACGGTATTTTCAATTATATAAAATACAGAAGAAATTAAGACGTCTTTTCGTCCTGTCCAATCATCAGTTTTCAGTTTCTGGAGATTAGACAGGACGGAAGGTCTTAGTTTTTTCTGTATTTTATATAATATTATATAATGATATAAATGATATATATATGATAATATATGATATTCCTTTGTTATTAAGTAAACTAGCATTACACCCAATTACACAACAATTTGCCATAGTGATAACGGCGACGAATAAACAACACGAGCTCGAGCAAAAGCACACGCAAACACAAATAAAACGTAAACAAACCACAAAGATGGCGCTGGACAATTGATCTCGTGACGTCATTCGCGATGTCGACTTGAAACCTCTTTATACTGACAAGTGAGTATAATTCATTTCTTTTGTAGACGCTATAGTCGAATTTTTCGTAGAGGGAGCTTTACGTATCTATTGTAACTTTGCAATTTGCAATTCAATTTTATAAAACTTTGTAAAGTTCATGTTAGTGAAGATGACATTTTCATTGCTTTTTTTGTTATTTGCATATTAAATAATACTAAAATCTAACTATATAAAGCTGAAAAACTGGATTCTTTCTTTCTGTCACTGTATGCCAAAAAATGGCCAGTAGGGGCGACCCTAGCTATTATTTAAATTAACAATAAATTCAGTATATTATTATTTGATGCGGTTTTTTGCACTTTTGGCTGCGTTTTAGTAGGGTACGCCATGAGAAATTCAGTATATTATTATTTTTATTTGTAATAGGAATTTATTTATACCACGGAATGACATCGCTGCTGCTAGTACGCCCACTAGGGGGCGACCCGGGCTATTAGAATAGAAGACGTGCGACTAAATATCCAGATGGCACAACGCGCTGATTGGTCGGCTGAATGACGTCAATCCACCGAAATAGGAAATGCTGGTCGATTATATTTTGTGGTCGTCAGAAAGAAGTCACGCAGAAATAGATTATTTTTTTTAGTTGTAATATTGAGTGAGTATAAAGTGAAAATACAACATAAAGTTTAGTTTGCACGTTTTCTTAAATTTATAGGAATAATTCAGTGGCGTAGCGTAGTGGGGGAGGCAAAATTTCACAATAAATATTAATAATATCTTGTAAAAATTTGAACCATTCTAATCTATATTTGCGTCGCGCCTACGATAGTGCTATCGTCCGGACAGTCCGGGAATCGACTCACCGTCCCGGTGAACTAGTAATTTCATCCGAGGATATCATGCGCAACCTGTTAACCTTTTATTTTATTTTTGCTAGTGCGATTCATTTCATATACACCACCAATATCCAATGGAGCTAATTTAAACAGGTCGCTGCACTAGTACGGAATTTTTCATTGCTTCTTCTGTGACAAAACTGAATTTTAGTCTTTTAAATTGAGATACCTAAATAACGGGGGACGAAATTTTCCTCCGCCCCGGGCGGCTGACACCAACGCTACGCCACTGGAATAATTTTAAAACGGCTTACTTTTACTAATAAATTACTAAGATTATTTATTTTTTGAACGAATTTTAACTTTATACTTGTACAGTACCTCTGAACCAAATTAAACACAATAGATAATTTTAATAGTGCGATTAGTCTTTTAAATTTAAATGTACGTGCGCAGATAATGAATAACAGAAAATTTATAATTTGTTACAGATATTATTTATAAAAAGTTCGAGAAAGGATGAAATTTATAATTAAGACGAGTCAGAATATTTTTTGAATTTGTCATATGCATTTAATATAGTTAGATGAAACAATAAAATTAGCTAAGTTTTGTATACTTCTGAAAGAGAAATTTTCACAAATCTTGCTTAACAAATTACAAAGTTTAAATGTAAAAGTTATTGAACAATTTTGAATAAAGAATAGGCCTATTCTCCATAGATTACTCTTATCAGAAAATTTTTTTAATGTTTTAGTTAGGATTGACAGTTCTTTCTGTCAATGGATATTTTGTGCTTTTGAATGTCAGTTCAAAATCTGTGTTAAGAAACAACACTTCAAATTTACAGAAATTACATGTATCCACTTCCGTAATAGATATATCTGTAAATATGTTTAATTAAATTTGTATGACCATTTTTCAAACTAAAAGTATAGAATTCTTGTATAAATTATTTAACAATCAATAATACTGTAAGTATTTAAATTCCTTCGAATATGTTTTAAATAAGAATTTCCACACATTTCATCATGGAAATTGTTTATCAATATAAGTGCCAGGAAAAAGTAATGTTGCATTAGTACTGTAGTTTTCGTGGTAAGCTATTTTTGTTTGTGTTGCGTAGGAAAATATAAAGCGAAGTGATATTCGGTGTCTATATTTAAGTTTCCACAGGATTTGATTTGAAAAGCAAGCCAATGGATTAGAGAATTTGTAGAAAAATAACTTATTATTTAAAATGTTTTAACAATTATGCATTAAAAACTATGAATTATGTTTAGGTGAAAATTATATTAAATTGTTAACTAACCTGTATTTCCACTTGCATATTCTGTTGTAATATATATAAAACATTAAATACAAGTTTTCGTAAGTTTAAAAATACTGTATTGTCTAATAAAGAATATAAAAAAACTTAATTTGCAATTTATATTTGTTGTTTTTGATTATTTTATTATTAAAGTAAATATACAAAAAAGCTTAAAAAATACAAAACAGATAAAAGTTACTTCTTGATGTTTAAAAATGTCTCGGCATTAAAATCTTTGATATCACGTAACTTAGTTTAATGTTAAAATTATTGCAAAATTTTCAATTAATGTCAATACACACAAGAGCTAGTGAAATTATAAATAAGTGCCTTTTATCAAGTTTTAGATGAAATGTCTATAACTATTATATAATGTCTGCCCGCTCTCACAACAACAATAATATAAAGTTTAGGCTGATCGACCGACATTTCTGATTTTAGTAGGTTGACGTCATTCAGCTGATCAATCAGCGCGTTGTGCCATCTGGATGTTTAGTCGCACGTCAACCATCTAGCCGCACACACCATTCCCAACACCCAGACTACTTCTAACAGAAACCGGCAGCGCAACCCCGGCTCCGAGCGCACCAAAGTACAGTTCAATTGTTAGTAGGTTGACGTCATTCAGCTGATCAATCAGCGCGTTGTGCCATCTGGATGTTTAGTCGCACGTCAACCATCTAGCCGCACACACCATTCCCAACACCCAGACTACTTCTAACAGAAACCGGCAGCGCAACCCCGGCTCCGAGCGCACCAAAGTACAGTTCAATTGGCATTTGAACTCCTTATACAAAGATATTGCTGGCCATAGTGGTACCGAAATCGCGTACAGGAGATCTGGTACAATATATAAGTTGCTACGCAACGCGAAAGATAAGATAGATCAAAGCAGGAGTGTACAGTATAACGATAAAGGATGATAGATTCCGAAGGTAGGTGGTGTATATTGGCTCAACTAAACGATCAATACGAAAAAATGTACGTGGGCATCAATACAACATTAAAAACCACCACCTTGTCCACATATGCCACTGACCCAGAAGTTCAAGGGGACCTCCAGAACACAAGTAGACTAGGCGGGCTTATCAAACAGACCATATTCGTAGCCTGGAGACTTGCAAATATATAAATCCAGCTTGACCGGCAAGTGTATTAATTTTAAAAACTGCAATACGATATCGCATGCGTGGAGGTACCTTTATGAAAAATTCGGGCAAGATTAGCCTATATTAAGTAACAAGGTCATATATTTACGAGTTTTAGTCATTCTGCCGTTTGAATTCGATTTACGTTACAGTTAAATTCATTACACTTATATACATTAAAACATTAAAATTTTCTTTGCTGATGATTAAATTTTTATTATTAAGAAAGTTTCATTTTCGTGAATTAATTATAAAGTTCTTATTAATGGAAGCGGCAGGATTACCGAAACGGTTAAGGCGTAGGCCTACCGCTCTGGGGATCCGTAATTGAACCCAGGCAAACAGCCCAAGAAATTTTTTGGGTTTGGTATGTCCCGGATAAGTCGGGTCCTGGTCTCTCACCAACCAGTCGTTCCATTATGATCCTGGTCAAACTAACGATGGGTACGAAAAAAAGGACGAAAAGAGTCTTTCTCTCTCTCTCTCTCTCTCTCTCTCTCTCCGCCCTGATGGCTCTAAAAGGGCTTCTTTTAGCAAGCCATGAATTCGGCCAGGCTTGCTAAAACAATGGAGCGGCCGGATGATGAGGGACGGAGTCAGACATATCCGGTCGGATCACTCCCCGAAAAATCCCTGGGGAGTTTTTCGATCCCGGACTCCCCAGAACGTTAGGCTGCCACCTCGACCACTTGGCCATCCGGCCGTAAGAGTAGAAAAAACTACGTGCTTACACTTTTAACAAAAACATTTAAAAACCTCGAATATGTTTTTATTTTTAAAAATACGTAAAGTTGAAAAAATACATTTATTAAATATTTAGCTTAATAATAATGAATATTAATAAACATCAATTATTTATTTTATATATAAATTCTTTTAGTAGCGACATCTGACAACGAAATATTGAACTATCAGATGGTGTGACTCGAAATGGGGCCGATGCTTACGTTTATTTACTTTTCGAGCAACTTTCAAGTAATTCTTATTTAATTCATTAGTATGACATTATACACAATAAATTAAATAAATTCATATTTAATTTGTTGTATAATGTGTTGTATATGTTGATATAATCATTGATAGACCATAAATGAGATGATAGAAAAGCTTAAATAGTGTCAAATTTGAATTTTAATACAATTTCTAAACATTTATGTCAAAAATGTTGATTAAAATAAGTATTTTTCTTAAAATTTGGAAATAAAGAGACCAATTTTAACATAAAGTAGATGAAGTTGCTAAATTGTTAAATTGGTTAATATGCAACAAGTTTTATACCTTTAAACAGAAAATCTGGTGTAGTAGGTTTAATGTATGTGTCAAGGCAACACGTGAACATTCTGCGGTAAGATGTGAACCGTGAATGAGGGATATTCCACCCCAGAAGTATTGACTGTCCTGTATGAGCAAGAAAGTCAATGGACCCGTACTCATGCACACGACTGTTTGCAAGATAGTCACTTTCAAAGGTCGGTTTTTACCGTGAATTGGAACTACTGCCTGTTTTGCATGTTCCGTGTTGGTCGAGGCTCGCTATTGCTCGCCTTGCATTCTTGCGGTTTGGTGCTTGCTATGCTTGCACTGACGTATCCATGTGAGGACAAGCTCTCGTGCCTCTCTGGAAACTATATAACATCAAGTACTCTGTGAATGGTCGAGTGGGCTACTCGAAGCCGACATAGTCGTGTGGGCTAAATAGTTAAATGCAATAATCTTTGAGGACTGTGTCTTGAAGGGTTGCATTTAGGGTTGCTTTGACTTTTTTATTCGCATGGATATGGTCTATGGCTCTGATGAGGTCCCAACCGTGTCATTCGGAGGTTTAACTGTTTCACCAAGGGAGAGTGTCTCTTGAGAGTCTTTCTATGGGAAATTCACTTATGGGAAACTCAGGTGTTAGACACGTAAATTAAACCAGAAACCACATCTGACCAATGGGCTAGCTAGCCCGTGACTATTGAATGCTAGCAGTTGCCAGTGTTCAATAGTTACAGGCTTTGTTGTAACAGTGTTCAATGGTTTTATCCACTCGGCCATCGGTGGGTCCAGGAAATCTGATTATCAAGTTGGCATCTACAGTATTTAGCAACATCAAAATCTATTTAGTTGTAAAATCATTATATGATGATTTTCTAATTAAGTAGATGTTTAATAGGCATAAGAATATTATTTCTATAATATAAAATGATGACAATTGTGAATAGCAACACTGCATGCTTTCTCCTACCTTCTCTCAACATTATTTTGCTTATTAATAGTAACTAATACCTCACTATATAAAGACAAATTTATAATGACAACAATATATAACGTGAATATTTGTTAATGTAAGCAAACATATTAAGGGAGATTACACCAGGAGTTTATTAATTGTGTGCATTATTGACATATTTACATTACGTTTTATAATGTTAATTGGATATTTTTTTATAGCATTTGTAAATTTCTTTATAACTCATTTTTACAGCACAATATAAAATAAAGGTTAAAGTATACCTAGGTAACCCCAATGACAGTGCTTCGGTTTGGTTAGGTTAGGTTAGATTAACTATATATTTAGTAGATGTTTTCTGTTTTTTATTTTATTCAAGAACTACTGTGAATCAATAACTAGTGACATCAGGCACTCTGTGGCCTGCCAGCGGCTCCCTTCCGGGAGGAGTCTGTCAGGACTACGAACAGCCAGAAGTGCCACTATTGGGGTTACCTAGGTATTCTTTGACCAAAATAAATATGAAATAAATATGAAATTTTGTTATGGTAAGTTCTTTGATTTTAATATCCATATGTAATGGAACCTGCTTATTGTCATCATTTACTGTTATTAGAATTAACAGTTATACATTTTTTAATTGGGCTGCAATTTTCAGATTGAAGACTTATACATTTCCACTGTTGTCTGTCCTGTGTTAATCTCAAGAATGGAGTTGTATAGCTGAAAATTCAGACTGGATATGGAAAGTTTATGGGCCTGAGGCCTTGATTAACTATATATGAACTTCTAGTCTGGACCAGAAGTCATGCAATTTTTAAAATTAAAATATAATTAAAAATTGCAGCTCAGCATTATGACCATTGTGACAATGTCACAATAATATATGTTCCATTTTTGTTTCAATACATTCTTATAATGCCAAAATCAATAAATTAGAATTCCCATTAATTTAGCCTTATTTAATTTGCTGCTCAATGTTTACAGCTAATTATAATTATTACTCTAGACAGGGCTGTTCAAAATTGGATGGGATGTTGAGGCTTAGAGCAGACCCCTTTTGCCTTTTTTTAAAGAAATGAAATACCAAAAATATTTCTTTATTAATTTAAAAGTTAAAATATATTTAATGGCATATAAGAATATTTTTAATTTTAAAAATATTTTAGATAAATATGTGAGATGTTTTATATTCTTGTAAAAAGTTTTATATTTTATAATAAATTTTCATTATTTTCTTACAGAATTAAATAAGTAATTATGACTGCCATCAGGCATAATCTTCAGCGGGACGTTTTTCTCCCGAGTGATGAAAGACTAGTCGGTGTGGTCTACGTTGCAAAAGCTAGTAAGAAGAAGAAAACTGGTTTCCTATGTGCTGTCAGTAAGTTTAAATTTAAATATTGTTGATATTTTTATTTGCAAAACAATACACTGATCATTCCAAAAATAAGATGCTACCACACCTATTAAAGTCAAAAGCTTTAATTACTTTAATTATTAACTTCTTGATACAATATATAAATATATTGATCTATATCTTACTTATTTCATACATAAAGTACAGTATGGTCTTGCTGTATGCAGGATTGCATGTAGTAAAATAAAGCTTAAAACAAAATTCCACATAAATTTGTGATCCACACCAATTAGTTCCAGATGATTGCCTAAACTATGGATGGCCAACCTATGGCACATTGTATATGTAAACACACATTAACCTACCACTGAATTCTAGAGTGTGCATTTATTATACTTGTATACTTATACTTATTTGATTATGAAGCAACAGGCATCAGCAAATGCTGACGTGCATCACTCAGTCAGTTAACAGCTGACTCTTGTGTCATAATGTTTGATGGACTTCTGATTCAATGTGTGTAAACAATTCTGTGTTTTTGAACTTACATGTTTTTATTAACAGTTCTTTAAGATAAGATTTCTGTTTCCATGAAGGCTTAATATAGTTCTGTAAATTTAAAAATAAATTTTTTCATTTTGAACACATATGTCAAGTTCATGTCTGCTCCCCTAATTTGCTGATTACTGAAACCTGCAATTATTCAACGTATTTGTGTATGTGTTTTTATGTTTATTTTATACATATCTTTCCTTTTTATTTATGTATAGTAGGTGTATTCTTAAAAATTAACTGATCAGCAAAGGTTTTGTAATGAGGATGTTAGGGTTGTTTGTGTGATTGCTAGTTGATTGACTGTTTTATGGCCAAAAGTGGTCTCATATTTCATCAGACATAATATATTATGAGAGAGAGATAAAAACTCTCCGTGAAAAAAAGAAAAAAAAAAAAAAATATATATATATATATATATTTAAACTTACAGAACTGTTTTTGAATGTTCATAATGTTCAAAATGATAAAATAATTTAAATAAATTATTTAATAATAATCTTTACTTTTTGAAATAATTTTTTTGTCAGTTACCCATTACTTTGTAAAACAAAATAAGCAGAAGAAAAGCAGAAGGTGATAGCAAGTGCCAGTTTAATGAATTGTGAGAAAATGAGTTCTGCTTTATTTCAGGTCCTTCAGGGAAATCATTGTTCTTTGTTTGTGAAACACTCTCTCAGATAATAGAAGACATGATCCTAACAGACACTATTAGAAACATCAAACTGAATTAGAAGAAAAACTGAAATTAGTTCCTGGGTCTGAGTTACAGAAAGAATATGTGGTTAATGTTTATCTTGTCTTTATATGAAATCCTTTCATTTAAAACTGTTAAAAGTGTCTATATTACCATATATATAATAAATCATTTTATGCATAACTGTTAAATATTTCCATATTACCATATTTTAAAAGGGCTGAAAAGGGGTATAAGTTTGTATGGCACATCCTAACTAAAAAATGAAAAAGTTGATGCATGAACTGTAAAAGGTTGGCCACTTCTGGCCTAGACACTTGTATTGCCTTTTACAATTAAAAGAAAAAGATTGAAATGAATTTTAAATGTTTTTACTTTTGTTTTTACTACAAAAAATAACAGTTTAGTCTGATGTTTCTAAATATATAGAACAAAATTCTATTATATCATATCATGTACACTTCCTGAAAAAAAATACAAGCATTACATAGAAGTCTACTCACTGTGAAGTACACTTACAATGTCAAAACCTGGAGAAGCATGATTTATTGACTTCAAAATCAGATTTAGTAGTACTGGGAGTGAATTAACCTAATCATCCTGAAAAACATGCAACTGTTTATATCAATTCTGTGTAAAACAACCATACTGTATAGAGTAATAACTGTTATTAAATATCAGAGTTCTAACAATTAAAATTTAATTAAATTAAACTTTTATAACAAGCTTTTTCAGCATTCTAGTTATTGTGAGATAAGCAGGGGGCTATAGGGGTTGCCCTATTAACCACTTAATTAATTGGCATGGGTTGCTAAAACCTGACCTCTGTGTTGCCAGGTAAGTATAGGAGGGCTAAATTTGAGTGGGGAGTGCATTGGGTAAGCCGATAGGTGTCTGTGTCCTGAGAAAGACAGGTTGACAGGTTTCTCAACAAATAAACAAAGCATTTATTATATGACTAGATACAAGATACAAGACGCTATACATAGTTAGATACATATACAGGTTATATACGGCTAAATGTGGTTACAAAGTCTAATAATCCAACAGAGCTACTCTATGATAGCTATGCCTAATTCCATTGAGAGAGTTTGCAGTCCGCTAATAATTACTTCTAATGTGGGTGAAGAGCTATATGTGGCGATACACAGTTCTATGTGGAAATGTTGAGAGTCGATGTCTTCTATAGGACTGGATTGGGTCCGTTGCGTGGAGATCCGGGAGATGGAAAGGCACTATTACCAAATACAACTTCTGAGTGCAAACTCTTGAGCTTATGGTGGCTGTCACTTTTATACAATTGTTGTGGGAAAGGGAGTGATCATCCGTTGATGATGATGACGATGCATTCTTGACAGCCAACTGTCAACTTTCCCACTGACTTGTTGTTACAACTGGTGATCTCTGATCTGATTCTCGCAAGGAGAGTTTTTTCTATCAGAGCTGTTTACAATTAAATTTCCGACAAATGCGTTAAATTCGCAGATTTCACATTATTTTTAATGGAATCATTTAACAAAAGTATTTTGCATTTTGTTTGTTGCTTCTATTAGCTTATTTCATTAATAGTTTCTTAAATGACTGACTACTGTTAAATATATGAAGAAATATTCTTTTATATTTATTAATAAGAAGCTAATTATGATATAGTATTTATCCTCCTTCATTGAGTTATGTTAATTATCATCAAGTTACACTGATACATAATAAATTATTTTGAAATTCAGAAATTATTTAAACTTTTACTGTTTATGTTGCTTTTGAGTGCATTGCCCCTTGTGTCCCAATCATAATGTCAATAATATATCTTATACCATTAGTAAAAAAGGTGTGAATGTGAGATTGTAATGGTATGATGCAGTGTTTAAGATAAACAAACACTACATTACACCATTTGTCTGTATTCACATGGATTATAAGAGAAAATGAAGACAATAGACTTATCAAAGGATTGAGTTAGACACAATTCAACTTAGAGATTTTATTATATTGTTAACCAAGATTCTCCTGGGACCTTCTTTCTGCTTAGAACTAGATATAAGACACTAACATTTACTTAGGGATACTATTTGCTTATTCAATATAATCAAATCGTTTATACTGTCTTCTCTTTATTAAGATCTCTTTTTTTCTAATAGCATTATTTGTAATGTGATCATTGTATGAAATTTTTAAAATATGTCTAACATTTCATCTCGAATGCCAAAGTCTATTCTCATCTCTTAGTATTGATAAATTATATAAGATACTAATACAGTCGACCCCCCTATAAGATAGAGATACGTTCCATTCTCTAGGAATCCGCTTTCTTACGAATCCTTCCAATCACAATTCGACACATGTCAAGTTTACGGACTACGGCTGTTTGAAAGATTTTCTTCCATAAAATTAATCGATTCTAGACTAATCCGACTCAACATTTCCAAAATACGTATATATTTTTTGGGAATAATCCGTATAAACTACGCTATAAACAAAAAATTGTAGGATTACTTACCGAGTGTCACCATTCGACATTGCCATTGCTCAACATTGTTTTCGTCGCGGAACAGCTCAGCAAAGAGCGGCCGATTTCTAACAACTTATTTTTCTGTGAAAACTTCGTAGAACTTCGGAGACATCATTAATATAAATAATTTTAATCGCCGTTGAATAAGAAATGTTTCTTTCACAAGAAATGTATAAAATTACAGTACTGTATTAGACTTACGGTACCTAATTTACATACTGACAGACGATAGTTAGCGTAAAAATCTCCGTAGCGTGGCGCCACGCTAGACGGCGGAAATTATATATTTAATTATAACAAAGTTACAATAAGTTAATATATAATTATATATACAGTACCTAATTTATATATAATTAATATATAATTATATGTACAGTACCTAATTTATATATAATTTATATAATACTGTCCAGACGATAGAAATCTCTCCGTAGCGTGGCGCTACGGACGGCGGGAAAGTAGTTCGGCTTCCCGATGACGTTTGAGGTGTTTATAGGGAACTTTTACTATTTTTTACGGATACCGGTAGCAATTTTTTCGTAGTTTTATAGGAATCGTAACTATAGGGACCGTAATTATAGGGGGGTCGACTGTACAGTAGACCTCCTATAACACGGGTTCACATAACACGAATCCATATTATATTGAATTGCGATCATATTCATATAAACACGCTAAAAGAGACTTGTATAATATGGTAAAACGTCGCAACTCATGACACGACAGGATTGGTCAAATCTACACCAATAGTGGATATTGCACAAACTGTTGAGTTTAAACAAGCAGAGGACCTACTAAAAACCATTTATTATTTAACGGCCATAAAAATTATATTTATGTTAATGATGTCTCCAAAGTTCAGTGAATTTTTTGCAGAAAAATAACTTATCATAAAACATGCGCTCGCCATTCGATATGCCGCTCCATGACGAAAACAAGCTTAAGCAATGGCATCATCAAATGGTGCACACTCGGTAAGTAATCCTACAATTTTTGTTTATAGCATAGTTTATATGGATTATTCTCAAAAAATTATACGTGTTTTGGAAATGTTGAGTCAAATTAGTCTAGAATTGATTAATTTTATGGAAAAAAAAACCTTTCAAACAGCCATAGTCCCTAAACTGCTGTTTAGGGACTATGGCTGTTTGAAAGTAATAGTGCTGGGCTGTGATTGGCTCATGTATTTAAGTGATTCGTAAAATACGAAATTCATATAAAATGGAACATATCTACCATGTTATAGGGGGTCTACTGTACTAATATTTTCATTTTACTAATGAGATGTAAATAATTACATCTCATTAGTAACAACAAGAATCCAAAAATTGCAGTTAGTACAGAAAAACCAGTCCAAGTGACCATCTATCAACTGAAGAAATCCGAGAAGGATACATATAAAAAGAAATCTGCATGGCCTCTGAGAGATTTAAAAGTTGTCGATGGAAAAAATGAACACAAAGTAAGCTTATTTCTATTTGTGATTTATATTCTTAAATATTTTTATTATTTATGAAATAACAAAAGAACATTAAAAATCCAATAATGAACCTTTAATGACACTAGCATTTTTAATCTTATTGAAATGCCTTCTATGTTTTATAAAATTGTTTGAGCACCTGAAGCAATAAGGCCAAAAATGTTTTGTAAGTTTTTTTACTGGATATTTAAGGTTTTTTTTTGTTATTTGATAAATAAATATCCAGCAATTCATACAACATTACAACTTTATAATTTATATATTAATTTGATTAATATTAAAATTATTTTTTAGGAGACAGCGGAATTTGATCTGCAGTTTGAAAGATTGTATAAATGGGTTGCTAGCAGTACCCAAGAGAAGAATGCATTTATTAGTTGTCTGTGGAAAGTTAGTATAAAACATTTTAAAATCTTTAATGATTTGATTAAAGTTATTAATTTTATTTGTTGTTAATCATATAAAATTGTCATTTATAAAATTTTGAGCAGTTGTTAAAATTACTGAAAAAATATTTTAGCTCTGCTGTCATCATTTACCAAGACAAAAGCCAAACTTCATTAATATTCCAAAAATTTTGATTGAAGGTCAGTATTGCTTGATTTTTTTATTATAATTATTAAATATTTAAATTACAGTATGTATAATTTTTCATTGGTTAGGATGACTCAGTTAAATAAACATAATGATATGATGTCAAGAAATTTGAGCGGATAGACATTAGATATGAGTTACTGTATGAAACAAATATTTTTAGATTTATTTATTACTACTTTTCTTCATTATGTACTGTGAAGATTACTTATTTATTTTTTTATTACTTAATCTTTTTATAGTAAATATTTCAGAAAGGTAATAGTAATCTTAGCTAATTTGGCCATTTAGCTATCTGGTAAATATATTACTGAATATGATTATTTTCTACAATATATTTCCAAGGTCAAGACAGATAAGATGCATGTGTCCTGTTCTAAGAGGCCAGGCTTGTGATGAGATTGAATCCATTGAAATGTTGGTAGATAGTCTAATCCAGTGTTTACCATCCTTCTTTGATTAGCAACACACTTTGAATTTAATAAGATTCTTGCATCACACCATAATTTTTAAAATAAATTATGGTTGATTTTTAAAATTTTGATAATATGAAAGTTAAACTTATCAAGACAAAACTTGTGATTTTACAAATGTACATAGTACTATTAAAATAAAAAGACTATTTGAATAAGCATGTAAAGAGTAAATATTGCTCTTTAAGCTTGTAAGCCACAATGTTTATAGAAGCTCCAGAGTTGATATGCTTGCATACAACTCTGGATATAGATGCAATCAACTTTGTGAGGAAGAAGTATGCTGATGCCACAAATTTTGCAACAATCAACATTTTAACAAATATCTCTTTTTTCCTTTGGTCAGCCAGCAGTAAAAAACTTGAAAGATAAATTAAATTTTAAAAATCAGCTTATTCAAAATTCTAAAAAATATTTGAAGTGGAGTATTAGTGAAGCTTCTTCTATGAGGCTTACAGAATTGTGTTCATTCTCAAAATTCATTTGATAAATTTTGATTAAACTTTGCCATTTTTCTCTAATTTTGATGCAGAATCCAAAACTGCAATAAAACATGGAGGTCCGTGACTTCGTTTTTGAGATATAAGGTCATTTCATGAGTGCATGCAACAAAGCAATATCACATGAATTGTGTGATGTTTTATGGTCACTAGCACATCTTGTATGGGCTTATAGAATCAAATTTATTGTGAATATTTAATGGATTGATTTTGATAAAACTTTGCCACTTTCTGTTAATTGAGACGAGGAATCCATAAATTAATGAGAGTCCATTTAAATGTAAAAAATCCAGCAACAAATTGCATAACTTTCCTGGCAACATTTAAAACTGAATGTGTGGTACCATCTGTTATGATATTTTATTATTAAAAACATTTTATATTTTTAGTTATTATAAAAACGCAAAAAGCTTAATTTTGAGGGTAGGGATGAGTTTTAGAAAAAATTGTAAATGCTAATAATGAGTTAAATCATCATTAAGTCTGATTCTACTTCAGATATGACACACAATCACCCTTTATCTCCCCACCCATTCAACCTTCAACAACCAAAATTTAATAACACAAATCTTTCTAATACACAAAATTTTAGAAATTTTCAAAAGCACAGGAGTTATTAAGCTTCAAAAAGGGTAAACAAAACCATGCCCCACACAAACACAGATTAACATCTGTACATAGAGAAAAAAACTCTGAATGTCTTTGCATTTCTCAAAATTTCAAGATGCCCTGAGTCCAAAAATGTAAAATTCTTGGGGAGGTCATCTTTTGACTAATTGCCATACTTTCCTTCTGTTATCTGTAAGAGCCAGGAAAGTAAAAATAGAAGTCCCATGACTTTGTTTTCGATATACAAAGCTATTAAAGTAGCAATGTCCATGCTCTCTGATGTGACAAACACATCTAACAGAATTTAGACCTAGGGGTCAAAAATAAAAACAGTATTATGTATGCCATCGATTGCTTTGTTCTTGAATTGTCTCTCCATACCTGGTTAATGCAAGGATTGTGTCTCCTATGGCCTGCAGGTACGAGGATAGCCTCTTTTGTGGCAGCAAGTGCAAAGTTCACCTGTCTGCATTTGTCAAGTACTGTACAAGAATTGCCTGTTCTGTGCCTAACAGGTGCAGGGATTGCTTCTTTTCTTGAGGCTCCACTTCAATTCTATTGTGATACGACAAAGTTGCACGATGTCCTAGTTAATATTTACGTGACACTTATGAAACATATGCATTGGGAAAATAGGATAGTATATATACAAGATGAGTCATGTAATATGAAACAATATATATCTCAAAAACAAAGTGTTGCAGAGGGAAATGTTTAAAATAATGTTTGTTTTGAAAGGGGAATAGAAAATGGAAACAAGCTTACTTATTTTTTAATAACATAAGCACTTTTGACAAATTCAAAATTGTCCTCTTCAGGCAACAAACAATAGAATATAAACACGTTACAATGTTCTAATAAAATGATTAAGAGCTATGATGTATTAACCGTTTTTTAAATTTTTTATAATGCATCAACATTTTCGAACAAGTATAAAATACATTTCAGAAGCATGTAAATTGAACTATTAACGAAGTGTAAAAACACACATAAGCTAGCATCCTAAGTTATAGTATCCTATGAATGATCTGTATAACATGTTTGTATACAAATGCATACAAAGATTCAAGAATGAAATGAAAAATGTGAACAATGACATATTTTGAACACCTGATTACTGAGGCAACTAATTAGAGAATATGTGAAAAAAACTCACAATTTATGATGATGTTGAAGGGTGAGATAATGATGTAGTCAATTCATAGACTTGTCTACAACATTATGCATAATGAGTTGGGTACCACATGGTTTGCAGCAGATGGGTTTGGATGACTTCTGCCATAGTACCTCTGGGATCCAAAACATTGAGACATTAATATAGCTCTGACTTGTCTTGTTTGGACTTGTTTCTTGTTTAGACTGTAAAGAACTGTCAATTTGGCCAAAAATTTTCAGATGATGAAGAGATATAGGAGGCAGTGCAGACTTATTTTGGGACCCAAGCAAAATTTGTTATGGGATTTTTTTTTTTTTGCAGGCATCCAGAAACTGTACAATGGTAATATGCATTTAGATGATGAGGATCACATAAAAAAATAAATATTGTTTTATTGAAAATATATATTATTATTATTATTATTTTATTTAAAAATATATATGTTTTAACCTCTATGTTATTTTGTAATAGCGTTATATAAAAATTATTTATTGGCACAGATATGAATATCCATTAACCTGATTTTTGCTTAAAGCCAAATGATCTGCTGGATTATATTGGGTTATGATATGGCTACTCTTTAATTATTAAATAGTAGCTATATTATAGCCAAGGTTGGTTTTGAGCTCTGTTAGCTGCCTCCGTGGGCCACCCCTGCCCCATTATGTGAATTGTGAATAGATTTATAACTTAACCCAACTGATAGGACTTTACTAGTATGTTTTTATGATAGTTCTGTATAGTTGACTGGAGTTTAAAAATACATNCGTCGTCCATGTTTGACTCTACGACAATTATAGAACTGATCAACAAATGGCGCATTTCTAGTGGAGTCGAGTTAAAACGAAAACATAACTGAAACGGAAACTCTATATGTTTCAGTTCTGTTTCTGAGTTTCTGTTTTCAGGTAATGTGGAGTCCAGGCTTTAACCTTAAATCTGTTTCTTTTCCATTGCCAGTCAGTTCTGGTTGTTAGTCGCCTGTGCGCTAGAGATATATGGCAGTCCCAGCCCCCATCATTTGAATCGCGAGTCGATGTATAACGTAACCCTACCGATAGGAGTTTACTAGTATGTTTTTATGATAGTTCTATATAGTTGGCATGAGTTTAAAAAATCCATAAAAATATTCGATTTATTTATTCTAATTTTATTGAAATAAAAAATGTACGAGATATAAAACAGAAGTAACAAAATACAGTATATCCAAAAAGTTAGAACTGCACTCTTCTTGCTTTCTTATTTACCAATTCATCAATAACATCTGATAATTCTAAACTTTCACACAATTCTTTTTCTATAGATAACAGTCCTAGATCATTAAACCTTTCTTGAATCATTGACATTCTTAAATATGTACACATACTAGTAATGTCAGAAAAATTCTCAAAGCTATAAACAGATTAGGAAATGATGACATTGAGTTATTTTTTGCAATATATGTCAAGATTTTTAACCCTCTCTCCCTTCCAGTGTGGATGTCATTTATGGTTAGCACGTATAAGTCTTGTAATGAACCAAACCTGACTAAAACAGGGATACTAGAGGTTTATTTACACTAAATTAATAAATAAGCACAAAATGAAAACAGTACCTGTTGTTTTTTCTTTATCAGCAAAAGTTCTAATCTTACATGATTTCTTAGGTTAAATTTACGATTTATGTATCCATTGTCATAAAAATTGTCTTTCCACTTCTTTCCCAAGACTACAAATATTCATGTACAAAGTAATCGGTTTTAACTTATTTCTACTTAAGAAGTAGTTAAATAATTAAGGAATTAGGGACATAAATAAACCCTGTTGCAAGAGTCGGAATTTTACTTAAACAAAAAGCTAATTGAATTAATCTCTAGCTGAGTACAGTAGGAACTGATTTCTTTGTAATATTAGATGTAATAAAGACAGAAATTTTTCCAGTTCAATGAGAGTGAGCAAAAAGTTGTAAATTTTGGAAATTTCCATGGACACCTGGTCTTAAAACGAATTAGTTAGAAAACAAATGATACACAATCTATCAAGTTTAACATATTTAGATTCTTACAGCTATGGTGAGAAACATTTGAAATTTACAGCAATCCTGTCACGTCCTTTGAGGTATACTAGTGATGCGACAAAAGAGGCATTTGACATTGACCGCTATCTGCTGCCCTCAGGATTTGACCACCTGTGTGCATGTATGCACTGCACACTTACCAGACCAGCTCTGATTATAGCCCAATATAATCCAGCAAATTGTTTGGCTTTATTTACTAATTTTTTGTTGTAATTTGACAGCAAGTTACAATTGAATTGATACTGTTAGTCTTACTCTGGATTGTAATTTTTTCATTTTTCAAAAATTATTTAAAATTAAAATAATAATAAATAGTAATCTTTTCTTTAATATTACTTTCAAATTAAATTTCTTTTTACTCTTTCTACTCTGTGGGCACTAAGAGGGCAAAATGTGTTTTTGATACTATCTACAACTAAATGTACCCACACTATTTACAGAGGCCATTATACAACTTTACTTTTTAGGTTTATATATGTATAATGGCTAGCCTAGCTGCAATAAATTATTCATTAATTAAACATCTAATTAAAATCTGATTATTTTTAGTACATTTATTTTAGTAAAGAATTAAAAACTAATTTTTTATTGATATAAAACCCATAAGATACTTGAAGTTAAGCTTTATTTATGTATATAATTTTTTTAAAATTCTTAATTAATGCAACTAATTAATTATATTCACGATTTTAAAAAATATTTATGACAATATTATAAATATTAATTTTTGAACTTAGAAACTACTCCAATCAATGATGTTGGGGTAGTAACAGAGCAGCTTGGAGAAGGACAGTCTATGATTGAAGCAGAAGATTACGAGGCACTTACAGGAAGAGAAGAGGCTGATTTAGAACGATTAATGACACAATGTGAATTTGCAATTTGTAATGCTGAAGCTTTTACTGAACAGTTGGCAAGAGAACTTTCTGTTTTGGATGCTGTAAATAATTTTTTCTTTTTTTTAAACTTTTAAACCATATTTAAAAATATGAGATCTTCCAAAACGAATGATACCCATTTTAAATTACTATAATTGTGTTAACTATTATCTGAAAAGTATGCAACATACACCAACTGTCAGAGTTTCATCTTCTTTCTGCATTCAAATATCTCATTATCTACTACCTCTAGGAAGCACCATAAATGAAAATGGCAACTTTGCAACAAAGGCATTTTGTGTTCTGTAGTTTGTAAAGTCAGAATCACTTGTCATTGTGCAACATGAAAAATCTGCATAAGCTGCATAATTCTATAGCACTGACTGCTGTGGGAGAAATGATAATAGATATGCTGTAGTAAGTGTAGAAAGAATTTGAATATCAGTTGGTCATGTGCTATGTTGAGAAACTATAGGGAGTCCCAAAAGTACTGCAAGATTTAAATTTTAAAAGGAATATATTGTTTATTGATTAATTTTCAGAGTTGTTACATTAGTTTAAAGGGTAAACATTGCAATTAAATGTGGAATAGAATATCTGACAAATGCCCCATGACTCTTCTGACACACTCATTTTCTTTTGACACAATTTTCAATTACATTTTGCATAATTTCAGCTCAATTTTGTTGATAACTTTTCAAATTTCTGTTTTCAATTCAGGAATTGATCTTATTTTATTGTCATAAACTTTGGGCTTTACTTATCCCAGAGAAAAAAGTTTCATAGTGTCAGATTGCACAATCTTTATGGCTAATTCTTATTGCTTTTGTGTGAAATAAGTTGCCCAAGAAACTTCTATCACAACAATCAGGTTGTTTCATATGCTGTATGACAGGTGGCACTATCCTTCTGGAACCACGTGTCACTCAAATCCATGCTGCCAAAATGAGGCCACAAAACTATGATATCTCACGATAATGCACCCCATTAACAGTAACTTAATTTTAAGCCTCATTTTTGAAGAAATATGGCTGAAAATTTTTTCACTTACTCTACCAATCTAAAATCCACACCAAACTGTCACTCATTGGGCATGCATCAGTTGTTCTTTGCACAGTCGTTTCATTTGTCATGTTCCTCCAACTAAAAATACCATATACAGTAGTATCTTAGGATATGAAATTAATCCATTCCTAAACTGAGATTGTATCATGAAAATGTTGTATGGTGAATCATTTTTTCTCATATGATTACATGTAAAACCAAATAACCCATTCCAGCACGAAAAAAACACTCAAATTAAAGGTAAATAGTACATTGAAAAAAAAATGACTTTAGTAAGGAAAACACTGAAAAATGCGTTTTATAGTTGTAAATGTATAAATAACCATAATAGAATAATAATTGATAAAAAAATGTAGTTTTATTTGCACTTTACCTTTGAGGATAGACAACGGTGGAGGTGTAAACTGGTGGCAGAGGAGAGGGAAAAGGGAAATGATACTAAAACTTAACTTACATAAGATAATGTAACAATAACTTAAAAATAACTTAACACTAATTTTTTTATCTTTTCTGTTTTATATATATTTTAAAAATTTTTTATTCACTGCATTTTAGCTTTCTTTCCTTCACTTTCACCAGCACTTTCATTGGATAGAGATCACTTGGTAAATATCTATCCAAAGAGGTTTGGCTTTGCCTACTTTTTAAAATGTTTCTAAAATGACTTAGGCAAATGTCATTAAACTGAGCAGCAATATGGCCAGTGTGAACCTTTTCAGGATGTTTTTTTTCAATAAAATCAGTCACTTTCTGATAATACCTCAAGATTTCCTTTATCAAGCAAGATCCTTCCACAGTGAAGCAAACACGTGGACTGAGACCAATGAACAGAAGGAACATGTGGTCATGGCAGTGGCATTGCGAACTAATGTAACATCTTATGGTGAGTTTTTGTTCATACTGTGGAGCAAAAATATGTTCGAATTTTGTGTTGTATCCTGAAAATTTTGTATGCTGAAGCGTTCGTATCCTGAGGTACTACTGTAATTTGTGCATAGTCACAGCAAAACTTCCCCCATACTTGTAATACGTTTTGATAATCATTACATGTTCCTCTATGATGTATCTTTCCATATTAACTAACTGAATGTTTTTACTACAAGATGTCACTTCATATGGCACTGCCAACCCAATGGGAGAAAAATGGCATGAAATTTAAATCCTGTGTTAATTTTGGAAAACCCTTTATAATGTAGACTTGGACAATTTTCCAATGTTTTAATGTGTATTATGACATTCTCAGGTAATAATTACATAATTACAATAATTTAAAATGGTAGCATTCTTTTTGGAGGACACTATATATATATAATAATGAGATTGTTGTAACAACTGCCCATATAGATTTCATTCTTACAGCATTAAATTAATATTAAACTAAATAAATTAGAAAGTTAAAATATTAGAATATTATAGTATCAGAACATATTTTTAAATTACAGCACTTAGATTGTTTATTTAAAATAAAATAAAATTTAATAGAATATGCAAATATTTATAAATAGGAATTCACAAATTGGATCAATAGATGTTGAAAGATAAATTTGGCAACAAATAATAATACCAATTATACATGTGTGAGATTCTGAATATTTTAAGTTAAATTATTTTAAAAATTATAGAAATTTTTTTAAAAATTAAATAAAATAGTAATTTGAAATTTTTATCAAAGTTAAAAATCAGAGAGAACAAGGAACAAATGTTTCCTGTGTTGACAGTCAGTTCCTGAGAGAGATTTTATCTCCCATGTCTAAAGGAATGACTAAGCCAAAAAGACTCATCATGACACACAGTCAGATGATATTAATCCATAATCTCTGTTGGAAGAGAAAAATAAATATAAATACAGGATATGTGCTAAACTCCATGCACATCACAGCAGCACATCACATCACTATCACTGTATCCTCAAGTTAACTTAGTGCCATACTTTATAAGATTGAACTTTTGCCCAAAGACAATAAGGTTACAAGTCAAGAATAATATGGAGGTATTATAATCAGTACTTTTGTAAACTCTCTCTCAATCTTTAGGGACCTAGTTTAAGGTTTTATCAGTAAGGATAAATCATAGCTAGATGTATTTAGCTAGTTCATTTGTATTCTTTGTTATTCATTAAAGTTTTGTTAATTTGTTGACTAAACTGGATTCTAGTTTCCTCACAGACTCCTATCACTTAACTCACGTGTCTCCCCACTCAAATGAGCCCTCCTAATTGGAATAATAGAAGAATCATGAGTTAAACTGCAAAATAATAGTTAAACTGGTGTCAACATCCTGACGTGGATCTTTATTTCACAATCTAGATCCTTATTACTGCTCATAGTTTAGCCACCCTCTGATATAGAGATCAGATCTCATGATCTTGTGCAGATTAAGTGGTCATTAGAATTTACCCATGACCCCCTGTTTGTCTCACACATGACTGCATATGTTTTGCATCTATTTCCATTTTATTTTAGATTCCTATTAACTTCTAAATATTTTTTTATTTTCTAATTTAATAATACACAGTAATCCCTTCATTACTTCTTGTGATTAACATGTTTCTCAAAGTTAACAAAGTTCATAAATTGATAAAAAGTTTCAAATAACTGGTTAAAATTCAATTAATACAGTGTTATTTTTAAGAATAGATTCATATTTCTGAGCTACCAGCACATTTGGTAAATACCTAACATGAATGAACACACACCAAACAACAATAAGCTGCTATAGATAGTTGTATGCTGAAAAAGAGAAAACAAGACAATCCAAACTATAGTTTCTAAATATTTCTTGAAAAAATATATTGGTTTTCATACATCACTTTTTATATTTGTTTATATACAATATGCTTTAATCTCTCTAAGATTTTAAATGTTGTATATATTCTTAATATATGTTGTAATTATATTTTATTAATAAAAGCAATAAAAACGACTATCTTAAAAAGTTAGTAAACATTTTGAAAATCTTGGAATTAATTAAATTAATATGTATTGATTATATTGTTCAATTAGTGCATAGTTTTCATGGGTTTCATTAAATATATTAATTGAAGGATTACTGTGTGTTCTCTGGAGAACTATTTTAACCAGTTCCATTACAATTCCAGATTAAATAATTCATATCCTACATTATTTTTCTGTAATTCTTATTAGCTTGTTGTTGATTGTTTGTAAAATTATTTTCCTTGGATTTAAAAATCAATTGAAAATTTATGCTGAAAAGAAAAACAATGATTACTCTTTAGTATAATGAATATATATTATCTAGATATAATTGCACAACGGTTTTCAAATATTGTAGGATGAGGACCAAGATTATGACTGTCTTGATTCTGTCTCAGCAGCACATGTCTTGTATTTAAGATGATTAGTTTAGTTCTGATCTAATAATAGAAAAAAAAAATGAAACCAGATTTAGTGTGGTTAAAATATATTTTCATATAAGAAGTTACAATCATATTTTATGCTTTATCTTATACTAAGACTATATATTAACTGAGTTACAATAAAACATTTAATTATTATTAACAGACCAATGTTCACACAATTATGGCATCTGAACAAAAGATGCAAGCTCTTATGCAGATGTTACAAGAAGCAATTGATGAAGCAACTCAGTTAGAAAATTATTTAGATGCTTATGATAATATGTTAAAGGTTTGTTTTCTTCTATTTAATAAATTTTGATTTATTTTTGAATTTTAAAATGATTATAAATTATTTCAGAATGTGCGTGACAGTGTTTTACATATGAAAGAAAAAGATGCTCTTATTCAGATTCAGAATATGAATAATGTAAAGTTGTTGACAGAATTACAAAATTTAATTGTAAGTAATAAAACAATTAAATGAAAAATAATTTATTATAAATTATAATAATAATTATTATTATTATAAGTTTATTAATTTATATAAAATAAAATTATAAAATTGAAAATGATATTACATTGATTTTATCTGTTAAAGAACGAATCTTGACAGTTGAAGACTGTGATGTAGTTATATAAAACTGCCAACTCTGATTTTAGCTCCTCTGTTTTTAAATCTCCAGCTCTGACTTCTTCACAAAAGTTCAATGTGTGTTAATAATAATAAATTCACTAAAATGATAAATGGTATCTTAGGTCACTTTATCATACCACATGAATTATCGTGCTACTTTTTAGATTTAACTCATATTTAAATATGTTTATGAAGTTTATATATAAGTTAACTTTATATCAGAGTCAAAGTTGGTACATTTTTATTGACTCAAACTCCATGTTTCCAGTTGAAGATAGCTGTTATATTCCAGTAATATATATATGCTTAGATCAGGGGTGGCAAACCTATAGTATATAAGGAGAAATCATCTGGCATGTAACATATCATGTGATTTCAATTTATTGTGTCTTTTTCAATCATGCTTTTGGTTTATCATCTGATAACCCTTTTATTCAATCAACTGTTTTACATTTATTCTATATAAAGCATATTAGTTTAATTTTTTTTAAAATATCATTATTCAAAGTCTAAAACTTTGGCACACATAAACATATTTAAAACTAACTATGCTTAACATATGGTAAACAGGGTATGGTAAACAGGTAACATATGATATGAAATTGGGTCATAGTTATATGTTGTGAAAGATCAGGTGAACAAATATTATAATAATGATTTGTTGTCTTTGTCAACAAAAATAATTTTTTTTATAAAACAATATTTTAACAATTATTAGTTGCATTATATTTAATAAACTAGTGCAAGTAATATGTTAATTGTGTGTGCATTTTTTGAGCTTCTTTTGACCCCTTCTTTTTAATTACATGTACAGTACAGTAGTTTATGAACCCTACTATAATTAAATAACTATGCCTTCCAGTACTTTTCCAGCACAAATATTCTTTTTTGACAAATATTTTTTGCTTTTTTTTTAATAAGCCTTTCTGAGGTGTCAGGAATTTATCATTGAATGTTCTAAATCAGAATGATTCCAGTTTAGAACATTCAGCCAGTGAATTTCTGACATACCTGAGGAAGGCTCATAAAAAAGCCAAAAACATTTATCAAAAAGAATATTTGTGCTGGAAAAGTATTGGAAGGTATAATTATTTTGTTATAGAACTGTATTCCAACTTGAACCCTTCCAACATTGAGGAATGGACTTGAAAAAGTTCTGCAAATATTTTTAAACTGATAGTTTATTTAAATGAACTTACAAGAACAAATTTGTATGCCACTAATATCACTAAAAAAAAGTTTACATAGACCTTGACTCCCTCCCTACCCATATACAACAATATACTTTTTGTGACCCATCTCCACCATAAACTGTACTTATAATTAATTGACAGCCCTAACATATTAAACTGTTCATGAATATCTTATCTAATTGCTTACTAGATAGAAGACTTTTCAAAATAGTTTAGTTTGAATTATAAAATTAACTAGACAATGCAGTATATTTATAATTATATTATCATGAAAACTTAATGAAATTTCTTTGTTTTGTATCAGAGTTATTAGAAAAATAGTATACTGATCATTCAAAAAAAAGCTTTATAATGTATATCTTTCTCATATATTTTATTAATTTATTTTGTTTAATATCCATTTTTATTGTGTTTTGCATTACAACTTAATTTAAACTTTCTAATATATTTGTTTTTATATTTAATGTAATTTTATCATAATTGATTATTTGTTTAATGTTCTAAAATATTTTTTGTGCTTAAATTCTGATAATAGCTATTAACANTTTGATTTCTATTTAAAAAAAAAAAACAATATTTTAATTGTTCAAATATTCTTTGTTTTAGTTACACTTTATTTCAGTTTATTTTAACTTTTATATTACTTCACTAAGGTGATTGGGCAGCAATTTGAAAAAATTGTAGACCAATAAATTCCCAGTGTCATCTGTCTGTCCTTCCTTAATCTTGAGAATGGAATTAGATAGATAAATGTTTGGGCCATATATGGAAAGCTTAGGGTTGGAGGTCCTGATTAATTATATGCAAACTTTCAGTTTGCACTGGAAGTCACTTTATTTCAATTAAAAAATTTTCCCCCAAAAAGAGTTAGATAGATGGCCAGCACAATTCTATTGTAACAGGAAAGGTATGTTGTACAGGGGCAAGCCACTACTAATTTGGGGTGGAGAGCATATATCCATCATGGGCAAATGCGGCTCTTTTTGAGTTACATGGCGGCTCTTGCTAAAAGTTGTTAATTTCTGCTTTTTATTATTATTTCCACAATTTTGTGAAAATATGTTATTAAAAAATTCAATATTTGTTTTATATAATATTTATATTACGTAATAAAATCGCCATACAGAACTGCAGTACAGAACTGCGGCTCCCATGCATTTTGCAAAACCTACATTTCGGCTCCCACCCCTGGCATATATTTTAAATTAAGTTAATTAAAAATATGATTGAAAATTGCAGTCTGGCATTGTCACAAAGCCAGGCTGCAATTTTCAATCATATTTTTAATTAACTTAATTAATAAATAATTGCTCATTTTTTAAAAATTTAATTATAACTTTGATACTTTTGACTTTATTTAATTATAGAGTTGATAGTTTGACTTACTTAATACACATGTACAATCAAACCTGTCTATAACAGAACCTGTATATAGCAGAAACCTGTCTACTATGGAAGAGTTGCTTAGTCCTGTGGGATTCCATTATAGACAGGTTTGAGTGTATATCTATATCTATAAATGAGAATGTTTGTTTGTTTGCTATGCACTCCGAGGCCATCTGACCAATTGGTATGAAACTTGGCAGTTCCGTTAACATACTACTCATTTAGATAATGTCATATGTACTACCCCAAAATATTTATTGGATTTTTACATATAAATTAATTTTTGTCTCATTGGATTGGCTGAATTTACATGTATTGCCATCTATCGACAAAAAATTTAAAAAATAATAAACTCAATATAATTCATACCAAAAAGGATATAATTAAATAAAAAAACAACAAATGTTATATTCACTTAATTAATGTGACAATGATGTAGTGAGGAGTAGACACACTAAATTATTACTTTGATGAGTAGCACATAGCACTCCCTTGCATTAAGTTGAAACTGTTACACTGTTTGTTAATTGTGGGTTCGCGGGTGGCCACATGTAGTTTCCCAGATTTCTTCAAGTAAGTAACACTAAATAGGGGCCAGTTTCCCATAAAACTCCTCTTGGGAGGCATCCCACGTGTCATGATGCATAAAATGACAATACAAAATTACCAGCAAGCACAAAATACATTTTAAGAAGTTTTCAAGGATGCCAAGTTCAAATATTTGGTCCATTTTTTTGTGAAATTTGATTTGTTGTTAGATTACTGTTTGATATTCGGCTGTGAATAGTACTGCATAGTACCATTCACTGAAAATATTAGAGATACTTGACAATGAACTTGTGCCATTTCATATCATCAGAGTATTGTGAAAAACTTGACAATGATAGGCTAAATAACCAAATTCTTTATATGGTTTTTGTTTTAATATTTGTTGTTTTTATTTTTTGCCTGGGCAATGCCAGACTTATGTAGACAGCGGACATATAGGCCCTTAAAAGTGGCGTTTTAGGTGCTTAAAATAAGCTCTTAAATTGCGTCGTTTAGGCTTTATAAACAAAAAATAGGTGGTCAAAATTTGCACAATGAACAATTAACATATTTATCAAGACAATGAATTTTTTATTTAACATGTGTATTCCAAACAAAAATGCACGTATTCAGAATGATGCAAACACAAAGGTAGACAAACAATTATCTTTACATTTTTTATTCACTCTGTTTACCATAGTTAGCTTCATAATATATTACAAGTATTTTTTCCAAATTTTCAATAGAAAAGTTGCAACATTTGTCATTGAGAATTAATTTATATGGAGAGAAAGAACATATAATCCGTTAACTTCAGTAGATGTGGAACACATCTACTGAAGATAACGGACAATATTTCAACCTTGGAAGAAGATGAACTGGGAATTCACCTTCAGTTTTGCTCTTCTTTCCTGCCAAAATATCAGCCACAATAAAAAACATTTTAATCCAAGTCTCTTTCAAAGCACTGCTTTCAACTCTTTCTTCACTTTTTTTGCAGCAGTGCCTGGTGCATCACAAAGTTTCTGCTTAGCTCTGTTGAGGAGATCAATTTGTTCATATATAGGTTTCCCACTATTTTCAAGAGCAGTAATAGTATCTGCAATGAATGTGAAATAACACTTGATGTACATCAACTTGTTCTGAACATAAATGTCATTCAAAATTTTCTTGGCTTTGTATAGTCCGCTAAAGTGGCCAGAAGTTTTTGATATCGAAGAAATATTCACTGTAGTAGTTAGTAGAAAATCTTAGTCATATATATGCTAAGGGAAAAATAGGCATTTGCCTAAAATCTGCTGTCTAAAAATGACAAATAAAGCATCTCTAATGCTATATTTATTAAATAAAAGTATTTATTTTAAAATATTTCATATAGTTTTAATTTTATTACTATAAAATTGCATCAAGAGGTGTAATTTATTTCCGTTGTTATTGTGTTCTAATTTTTTCTGCTTGGGATATGCATGCACTGGGACTTAAATATAAGTAATCAATAATAATTAAAAAATGAATCTGTCTGATTGCATTTTCATGAAAAAAAATGAAACTTAAGCAGTTTAATTTAAGAATTAAAGTAAACCTTTTCAGAAAATGAAACAGAAAATTAATAAAAACTTTTTAAAAATACGAAAAAAGTCTAAACTTTATGTTTTAGGCAAAAATAGGCAGCAACATCAAAATAAGCATTTTTAGGCATTATAAAATACCATTGTTTCGGTCTAAATGTTCATGAAACATGCTCATACAAAATCTTAGCCATGTATATGCCAAGGAAAAAAATAGGCATTTGCCTAAAATCCGCTGTTTACTTATATGTTAGTGTATGTATGTATAAATATTTTTTTTATTTAAGCTTTTTTTTCAAGTTAAAATATATATATTGCAATTTATGTATTTATTTATGTTGTTTTATAGTATTTTATTTTGGTTCAATTTTAAATGTTTGACATTCCCTAAACTTGTTTTCTTTTTCTTGAATTCTTAATTATTGAATTTAAAAACATTTGATAGAATTTTTTTTAACCTGAAGATGATCTTTTAATAAGACCAAAAACATTTGTTGTTTTAACTTTTTTATTTATTTATTTTTATTTTTAAACTTTTTCCACCCTGTGAGCACTAAGACTACTGTCTAGCCAATTGAAATGTTGCTGACTGTATTACAGTAATTAAGTTTAAAAAAGTATTTTGTGACAACTAATTATTTCAAAGATTATTATTTTAATTGCAAATTATATTTTTTCAGAATCAATTAGATCTTTCTCATAATCATAAAATGAGTCTTATCGAAGGAGATTTAAAAAGCCCGGAAGCCATCATGAACTGCACGCTAGCCGCTAAAGCACTTCAGAATGCTATGAATGCCCAGATTCATCCAAGTACGTTAACTTTTGTTTAAATTTTATAATTAATTAGTAAACTTTTTATGCCATTTTATTAAACAATTCTATTAAAATTATTTCTTATTTCTTCATTATGTCTTGATCATCAGGTTTGACAAAAATGGCAGCATATCAAGAACAGCGAAAACTTTTCGTAAAACTGTGTACGAAATTCTCGACTAAAATTAAAAGTCATTTGGTTAATTTGTTTAATCATTTGGTAAGTTTTTAATCTTGTTTTAGTGTTAATTAAGTTTATAGGAAATGCAAATTCTAATTTAAACGAGAAGAGACTTTTAAAATCCATTATATATTGCTGTTTTGTATTTTTATTTGGTTATAACCTAACCTTGCTTTGTTTTTATCTTTAAATTTTGGTTACAACCTATTAGGTTAGTAAATTTGATTGGCTAATTTAATAATGAAATGCAAATGTTTGCTATTGAATTTGGAGATTTATTTATTTATAGACATAGAAAATGTAGCCACATTTTAATTGCAATTATAATTAGAATCAATGCATCATATTGATAACTATATGTTAAAGATTAATTACTTTTCAAAGATTTGAAAGTATTAAATCTGATTTAGAATATTCCTGATTATTTTTATAATTAAATAAAAATAATAATTGTTACTATATTGAATTCATTAATTTTTTTTAACATTTCTTTATTTTTTAGGGCAATGAATTAGGAGAAACTTTGAGTTTCTTTGCTCAAGAATTAACTTTGCCAACCCACACAGCTTGTCATAATGAATTACTACCATATACAGAGTTAATACATTGGTTAAAAGTTGCAGATTATTCATGCTTTTCTCATTTAGTTGAGGTAAAATGTTTAATTTTATTAAATATTTAAGAAAATTCATCAATGTCAATTATTAACGCGAGTGGCCGTGTGTGCAGGCGATCAGATCTGGGATCTAAATTTGGGTTGAGAGACAGTGTACCGGAAGTAAAGTACTCAGATACGAAAGTTAAAAAATAAATACCTGTTTATTTTCAACGAAGAGGAATACATGATACAATATATTGATTTAACCTATCTAGCTAGCAATCGCGAGAGAGAGAGAGAGAGAGTTTACAATTGTTCACGAGTTGGGAAATACCTGTGTTGATGGTGATGATTCTTGATTTGAGATTCTCAAATTGAGGTTGAGATTAGGATCTTCAGGGTGAGGATTTGGATTGTTGGACCGGTCTGGATCAAGAAAGTTCTAGGTACAGTGGAAAGTAACGTAAAAATCCGACAGAGTACTGATTGAGCACAGAAATTTGCACTGACACAGGAAAAATTTTGATGACTAATCCAAAAGTGACTGGCGACAACTGACTTTTTGGCTGTCAAATCCAATATCACTGCAACATCGCCTGACCAAGAGGTCAGTAGATCACGGGAATGTGACACTTTCGCCATTGAGAAAGTGTAAGGGGAGATTTTCTCAGGTAGCTGAAGACAATTGTTGAGCAAGTATGACAACATCGACGATTGATTTTTGTTAAAATTCAGAATATCACAAGTGTATTTGGTGTCATAAGTGAGAATATAAAGTTTTATTATGATACAAGGTGTGAGACAGGGATGTGTATTATTGCTTCATTGTTTAATATATAGATTAATGAATTAATAGAGGAATGGAAAAACCTAGCACCACTAACCTTCAAAATATACATCAATGCAATAATTTATGCAGATGACATTACCATTATTCAAACTAAAAAGTTTAATTATGCGATATGCTTCTTGTCTAGTCTTGTATACAAATATACGAGCGCTAAGACGGCTTTTCTTTTTCACTAGACTTATTACACCATCAATGAAACAGAAAACAAACTTTAGAAAGACTTTTTATTTATTTGAGAATGAATTTCGGATAATTATATCCCTTTTCAACTCGTGTTACAACTATACAGGGAAAATTAGCATAACGTGTACAAGTTAGTAAAAAATTTACTATAATGTTACAAAATTGTAGAACTTACATGAGACTTACATGGACTATGAGACATGCAGGAGTTGTGACATTAGAAAAAATATGGATGGTGATTATTGCTTAACAGGTATAAGCTACAATAATGATTAAATTGGAAAAGATTTACAAAAGGGGAACAATTAACATAGATGTAAAAAAATTTTTGAACTTACAGCAAACATCACGGCCTGGTACATAGTGTTGGAAAAAAACATCCTGGTAAGCATGACACAATGTTGAGTTAACAGAAACGGAAAGGAGGGAACAGAAACAGATTGTTTTAGTTTACAGTAGAGTTTCATAGGATGGGATGGTCCATAAATTGTAAGTGGGAGAGGATGCATTAGGAAGGCATCACCTTGAGAAGGGGGTGAGGTAGTGGGTGGGGTGGACATAAGGGAAGGGGGATCGAAAAAAACAGGTGTTTTGAGGGGTTAGGGAATTGTAGAAGAGTGGAGGAGGAAGGGAAAGTGAGACATATGGGTGCCCTGCTGGGTGCCGTATTTTAACACATTAATTAAGCACTATTGACACCCCCTTCTGGGTTTCTTTTGGTCAAGTATGGATACCAAGTTTCATGTAGTTTTTGATTAATATTATTATTCATTACACTGTCTTTGTTTTTAAGGATCTCAAGAGGTTCATACCACCTCCTTTTCTGTGTATGTAATTCTTTTTTGACAATTTTTACAGTTTCTTTTAAGATTTGACAACCTTCATTGTTACAATGAACAGCAACAGTTGAGTTACAATTATTATATTTAATCGCGGCTATGTGTTCTTTAAACCGGGTCTTCAGATTTCTACCAGTTTCACCTATATATGACTTTGGATTAGTGCAGTTACAGCTGAGTTTGTAAATTACGTTTTTTTGGTCCCATATATTAATATTATTATTAGTACTATGGGGTAACCTTAGCACCAGAAACTTTTCTGGTGCTAAGGTTATACCATAATTATGTGATATGGATTTGATTCTTTCAAATATGTTTTGTTCATATGGAATTTTAAAATATTTTTGAGTGGTGTTATTGTTTTTGTGTTTGTGTTTTTTAGTACCTTTGATATTGAGCCATTTGCTGAGTGTGCTTTTGCTGTAACCGTTCATTAAAAATATCTTTATTACATCTTGTATTTCCTCAGTTCTATCAGTTTCACTAGTGGTGCATTGTACGATTTTGTCAATGTACATGTAAAAAATGTTTTTCTTTATGTAATACGGTACCTCAGAAGTGTAGTGTATGATACTGTCAACGGTGCAAGGTTTTTTGTATTTTTTAAAGGTGGTTTTGTTGTTAAACTTAGTGACGAGGATGTCTAGGAAAGGTAACTGGCAGTTAATTTCGGGTTCTAAGTCAAAGTTCTAAGTTTGTAAAAAGGAAAGGTTTGTAAAAGGTTCTAAGTTTGTAAAAAGTTTAAGACAATTTAAAAAGTTTAATATTTGCATTATATCAGTTAAGCAGCAAATATTATAAAAATATCTCTCCAAAAAACAAAAACAATAGCTTTTACAGGAAGAGATGTAGTCAAATCAAAAACAATCTTAGACAGTACTATCAAATATTTAATTATTTCGTGACAGTTGTAGGAGTTACCATTTAAACTACAGAATAACTATGTACAGAATAAATTTGATCTTGTCACTAATCTAAATCATTAAGTCTATCCTCACCAATAAACACACAGATGCCATCCATAAGATGCTGGACAATCTAAAAATCCTTAAATCAATACATAGTTTAGTGGACAAGATTATCAACCTCAGGCTGGACTTAAATATTTCCCAACCAGCAATACACCCGGCCAACATTATCTCTAACAACTTTGACCTACAACACCTTCTATCTGTAAAGGGCCTATGCATATTTACAGATGGTTCAAAGGCTCTGGGGGCAGTTGGCGCTGCAGCCTGTCTTGAAGATCCCCATGAAAAATTTTTCTGGAAAGCTGCTTACAAATTAAATGAAAACTGTACAATAAATCAGGCAGAGTCACTTGACATTTGGAAGTCACTCAATCATATCCAAAATAACATCCAATACTATAAAGGTAATAAAATCTACATTATTAGTGACAGCTGCATGGCACTGCACCAAATCAAAAATGAAAATTATGAACTTCCAATCATCCAGAACTGTCTGAACACCATAAAGTCATTGGAAGGAAAGGCTCACATAACCTTCCACTGGGTCAAGGGACACTCTGGTACCAGTGGAAATGAAAAAGTTGATAAGCTTGCTAAAAATGCCCACATTGTAGCTTCTAACTACTCGTACACAGCAGTTCCAGTCTCCTTCTTGTGCAATGAACTTCACTCTGTCATCATGGCTTGGTGGCAATCTGACTGGGAAAACAGCCCCATTGGACACAACACCTTTCAATTTATCCCAGACGTCATCAGGAGGCCTCACCTGAAGCATCTGAGCACGACTCACGTTCTTACTCAAATCCTAACGGGGCATGGTAACTTCAAAAGTTATTTACACAGGTTCCTTAACAAAGGAAATGGACTATGTGACTGTAACATTCAAGAAAAAGATGACTCTTTTCACCTCATCTTTACCTGCACGAAATTTACTCAACACCGTCAACCGCTACTGTGCAAGGTAACTGACAAGGGGCACCATTGGCCCTGTTCCCTCAATGCTCTCATTGAAGACAAGGATAGCTACCGGACTTTTGTGCAGTACATTAACAACCTGAGGATAGCAGACTAACATATTCCAATCAACGGACAGATTACCTCACCAATATCACCCACGTCCAGTAATCAAGACTTATCGGATCTCATCTGAAATCCCTCCACATCATCATCACATACGGTCTACCTACTCTTCGCTGTGCCAATCCTGGCTCTCCATTCTCAGCATACAGGTTCTCTGCTTTGTCTCTCATGTAAGCCTCATAAGGTGCCACCTATTTCATCTGTCCAATCAAATTGTATATAAGCTACCTTGTTAATTGTATATTATTTTAAGCTGTTCATTAATTAGTTCCCGGCAGGCGCCCATGGATTCCTCCTTTTCTTTCTATCTCTTTTCCCTCCCCCACTCCTACACACTTGCCCCTTCTCTTTCCTCTCTTCCCTCACTCATCCCTTTCTCCCTATCCTATTCCTTCCTTGACTATACCTTCGAGTTCGGCCAATTACTTTAAATCTTATGTCTTATGTCACTAAAGAATAAGTCATGCATTAGTTTGACTTAGCAGGTAGCTTAGGAGCAATTAGTTTAAAAAATTCTAACTGAGCAGTCATGTTACCAAGAACAATGATATACAAGATGGAGTGAAAATAAGTGAAAAATGTGGGACAGATTGGAGTGTCAAAAAAATATACTAATATATCAGATATTTGGTAGATATTATCTACAATATTTAAATATAATGTAAGTAAATATTATTATTAATAGATATTTAAGATATTAATTTTTGATATAAAATTATAAATAATGTTAAATTACATGCTACATGTATAACACCAGTTTAAAAATCTAAACATCTAAATCTAAATTAGTTTTTTGATTGAAGCTTTGTGTGTGTAAAAAAAGAAAATATTAAGCATATTTGAATTGTATTTATGAAGATCTATTTGTTTTTTTATAATGTAAAAACAAAAAATATTACTTTTACATATATTAATCTATAGTAAATCATTGCTAACTTGGACCACATAAATCGATCAAATTTTTTTTCGAAAAGCTGTACAGTAATTTAAAATTTTTTGAGAATAGAAAAATCATAGTTAATGAATGTTTTTGATATCTGGAAGTCTTTGTGATACATGCATTACATTAATAGCTATAGTCAGTAAGTTACTGAAGACTACGTTACTATTAAGTAATTTTTTGAGCTCACTTTCTATAATAATAAATTCAGCAGCATAACCTGCTAAAGCTCAGTAAAATGTCTGTATAGAGCTGATCATGACAAATTACAGCACTGTATATCCATCTTTTCATTTTTCATGTCATCAGAGAAAAGATCCCACTAACTCTGGACTTTTGTTAACTCATACAACCTTCATCCTCCAATAGTTTCAGTTATCAGGAGTGTTCTGTATCATTTTGAAATAAATGTAATTAATGTTTCTGTAATTGCTTCATACCAAAGAAATACTTACCCAAAATTTTTTCACAAAAATATTTGGAATGAATTATTTTGCATATTTTCTTTTTATAATTTTTCTTCCCCTTCTTATATTTAGTCTTGGTAAAATTGTCAATATTTACTAAACATGTGATGCTAAATTTAGATGAATTTTGAATAGAATAATAGTTTAAAATAATTTTTGTCGTTTTGAACACCATATATTGTAAATACACGAACACTAGGTAATCTTCATTTTAAATTTATTCAATTTTTAGTTGAATAAATTTAAAATGAAGATTGCCTAGTGTTCGTGTATTTACACTATATGGTGTTCAAAACAACAAAAATAATCACCGACACGGTTTCAAGAATGTAAAACAAGTTAAAAATAAGTTAATATTTTAACGACTTAATTGAAAACAATAATAAGTTTGGATAAGTCAATATGGCAATGGTTAAAGACAGCAAGATTTCTCTGGAGCATATTGCTGTCAGCAGAATGAACTCAAAAATAGTGATTTCTCCTATCGTTTTGAGAATTAGAATTTGGTTTTACTTTGGATTCTTGTGATTTTTGTGGATGTCAGAAGCAGACTCCTTCATTTTTCATGCACAGATTAACTTATATATTACTTATTTATTGAGATCCTGATTTATCAGACTTTAATAGTTGTTAGGTTTTATATACCTTTATCTTCATTATTCACTGTTTTTCTTTATATGCATATGTTTTTTTCCATACCTATTGCAATATCCCTTCCTGTTATTCATTTAATTTCCTTTCCAATATCAATCCTTGTACTTAATGATTTTCTTTAACTGTTACTTATAATCTGTCTATGGAAAGAATCAACTTTGGTATTAACCAATGAGCATCGGCCATTGACCATTGACCACAAGTTACTTTTGACTTCTTCCTCCTTTGTTAAGCACATCACATCATTATAAACAGTGTTATGAAAGTTTCGTGTTTTGGTATTGAAATACCAGGAAGTTTGTTATAGTAGTTGTTAAATTCATAATTCTTTACAGTTAATATATGCTATAAAAAAATTAACACACTTAATGGAAAAGTTATTGCTGTCTAGTGAGAGAAAATAAAGTAAAATTCACACATGGCCTGACATATTAAGCAAAAAAGTGCTGACATTATTAAAGAATGTGCTGATTGGTTTAACTGAAGCGACTTCATGCGTGACATGGACATTGTTCTCAAGTTGATTCTTTCCATAGACAGACTATAATGATTTTAAATATAGTATTTATCATTCTCTGTTGAGTTGTTGTTTAATCTGATTGTAAATTATTTTATAGTTGACAGGATAGATTGATTTTTTATTTTCAGTTTTATTAACTTCTTTTATACATAAATTATTAAGATCTTTAGTTTTTAAAGTGTATTTTTTTTATATACATAATCTAAAAGTAATTATTACTATTATACAATAAAACAAAAAACAATTCTTCTTATCTTCTACTACATTTCAGTTGCAAAATTAATATTTTAGAATAATTTAAAATGAAAATTAATATAATAATTTTTTCAAAAACAGGTGTACACTTCATCTCTAAGTAAGTTGTATGAAAAAGAGATTAAGAATTTTTTTGAATTGGCTAAAGAAAGGATATCTGGTAAAAGTGCAGATAAAAGAGGTAATTGGATATGAGAAAACCATTCAATTATTTTGTCCAATTAATTTAAATAATGGTTTCTTTAGCTCGCGTGTCAGGCTCGAGTCAAGATTTAGGAGGTAAAGTGAGCACAAAACAGTGGTCGTCTTCATTGCTGGGAATGGATCCGGAACATTTTGGTTCGGAACTAGATTTGGCAGAGAGAGAACTGTTTGATAAGGTAAAACACTTATCATATATAACAGTATGATTTTAAATGTTTTTTATGTTGCTCCATAAGTATTATTGTTACAGTTGATTGAACAAATGCTGAGTGCTTTGGAGCCAGTTTGTTTAGCAGAACAAAACTTTTGCATTAAATTTTTTGGTCTTGGTTCTGACATTCATTCCTCATCCTCTCACGTCAGTCAGGTTGTAAAACACACTTATTTTTGTTCATTGATACTTTTATTAAATGGCATAATTTGTTAAAAAGTTTGTTAAACATTTCTATTTCAGCTTTCGAATCAACCAAATACGGTCAGTCGTACTCCGAGTAGTTCCAACCTAAGCAGAACAAACAGTGAAGAATTGTTGTCGAATGCACAAAAGTAAATATTTGTTATTTTAAATTTTTTAGAAATTTATTGAGCAGTAAATATACATCATTATTTAATATTTGTTTTTGATATAAACTTACTTCCTAATATGAGGGAAAATTAATAAATAAAGTATAATTTTCATGACACTGTTACAAAATAACATGGAAGAATAAAACAATACATATTTTTTATGTGGTCTCCCTTCTGTCACATGGTCCACCAGTGTATAAGCCTCAAGTTGCTCTCCAAAAAAAGTTATTTTAGTTGAATCTTATGCCAAGTCCACACCATCTTATGCATAATGTTGTGTGACTCATAAGTCAATAAATAATTGCTCGTTATTTATTGACTTTTCCCATATTATTTATTTTTAGAATAAAATTTAATTACTCTTTCTCTATTGCTGTGAGATGCTCTCATAAAAGGTTTTATATTTTTTTATTATACAGTATTTACAAATTAATTTATTAGAATTTTGCATTTGTAAATCCTATTTATAAATTGAAAAAGAATGGAAATTTTTTAACTTTTAAATGATTACATTTATAGTAATTAAATTCTCATGCCACATTTGAAAAAATTACGATGATATTCATTGTGTGAGACTAATCGGGGGTAGGATGTTTACGAGGATGTTCCTCTCCTACCTCTTACTCGACTCAAGACCTTGAGGTCCGGTCTCGCTTGTCTAAAGGATGGGTTAAAAAGGGTTAGGAGAAAGGATCGTTAGATTCTTTCACCTGTCAGGATCTGACACCAATCTATCAATTTATCGTTGATAGATACGCTCATGGATGGGGAATTATCACGAGCGATCTCGTTGAGGACTTTGGGTTCAGTATGGAGTGGAAAATGTCGGAAGAAACGCACACCAATCCAAGTTCGTTAACAAAATACCCGTTTATTCCGTACATTTATACATAGTTAATAATTGGAATACAAATCCCTCTCGGGGGTTCAATCCGTATAGTTCATAAGGTAACGGCAAAGTATAAAGTAGTCGCGATCCTAACCGCGAGGTTGGAATATTCGAATAGCGAGAGAGAGCTTACATATCATCGCGTGTAGGATAAATACCTCTAGTTAAATCGTGGATGTAGTTTCTTGTTCTCTTGGATTTGGAATATAGACCAAAGTTCAAATCAGTCAAAGTTCAAAGTCTGTTGAAGACGGTGGCGACGAGAGGCAGGTAATTCACACACACACAGTATAGAAAATAACTTTTTCCCCCTATGTCGTCATCGCACTTGTCTTTTATATGGGGGCTCTGTTTTCGAGATTTCCCCCATGTACGTCACAGGTGATGATCTTCTTTGACCAATGATGGGCGAAGTGACAAACTTATGACACAACAGTTAACTCATCTTCTACAGGGAAGTATTGTCGTGGGAATGGAGTTGTTATGAGCGATTTTTATGAGAAAATTTGTCGGTTGTTTTTCCCTTTTTGTGTTAACCCTAACTTTTAATCTAATGAATAAAAATATTTGAATCTTAAATCCGGGCCCTCACAATTGTATTTTTTGAAATCTGTTCTTCAATTAATTTAATCCTAGCATATTAAGACTTTAAGTTAATTATAATTTAATAGAGAATTTTTAGTGTTTGTTTCACTTTTGATATATTTACTTTATAATATTATAACAGTTATATATATATATATATATATAGGATGTCCCAGAATAAGAATAACTTCTGCAGTTGTTGGTACATTACACTCTCCACAAGGTTAGAAGCAATACTTTATTAGAAAATGTTTTTGGTCTCGTTTACAGACCTGCTTCAGGTTCCACACATTTGAATTTAATAGTTTAACGAGTGAGAAGGAAAGTATGAGATTGGTTACTATTATGATAAGTTCCAGCTCTGAATGACATTGCTGTAGTGGGAATTGAACATAATGATATGCATGACACATGGATACTTCCTGTGGACTTCACGACAAAATGGGAGCTCTTTACCGTCACACCGGAGGCATTTAGTCGCAGAAGTTATTCTGGGACACCCTGTATGTAATGTGTGTTTTTAAAAGATTAAATACTTGTAGTACTGGCCGCTTTCATTTTACATGATTTGGTTTATGCCAACTGATAATAATGTGAATTTCAAATTTTTTCCACATTGTGTAGAATATTTTTTGCAACTGTTAAATACAAATATTTAAATTCCATGCCTTGCAATGTCTCTGAGAGCACTTAGTAATTTGCAGGTGATATTTTCCTTTTAGCAAACTAAAGTCTCCAATCAGATAAATGTTGAAATAAGTATCTCTTTTGCTTTCGTCTGTCGGGTTTAGCCATTGTGTTCTAACTAACCATTCCAGAAGTATCAGTTAGAACAGAAGAGCCGTACCTGAAAAGACAAGAGTTGCTTAGTTCAACATTTGTATGATTCATGACTTTAGTTGTTAAAAAAAAAATATAACTCTTAATCTACACCTTCCTATTCTTTGTCTTTTATTTAAAAATTAATACTTTGCCTTGCATAATGTTTAAATATGAATTCAGATGGACAAAGTGTTCTAATTCCAGTGTAGTAAGGTTCGCTTACTTGACAGCTTACCTCTACCAAGCCTTATGATCTGAGGAAACCTCTAAGAACTCTGATAGCAAGTTTCTGGGTTAATATTTTCTTTGTTCTCCTCACCATTAACTGCTACATTTATGAATTTAATGTATTATATTACAATTTGCAGCAATAATTACTATTTATTTATTTTCATTAAGTCTACATAATGATATTATTGTCAATACATAGTTTAATCGAATTAGAATTTAGTATTTTTTATAGAATGTCTCTAATGAGCATTACCTCTAAATGTAAGAAAATATCTGTGATGAAAGCAAGTTAGATGATAAATATATTTTAATAAAATATTTTGTACTTCTCAACACTGATTACCAATGTTTCTTTTTCAAGGAAACAAATCAATGAAGAATTAAGGTAAGGTTAATTGATATTTACCAAGTTTTTATTCATTTAATTTGATTTAAATGTGCAATTTCAGGAAAATGATGGCCGAACTGTTTGCAGTTTTAGAACCGGAACTAACAAATTTCATTACATTTTATGATAAAATGGATGGTTTGTAAGTATTTCTCACTTTTATCATTGTTACATGAAGTGTTATTAAATATATCTTAGTTATATTTACATAATGAAACTTGCATGCCATATAAAAATAAAAACACAAAGATTGGCATTGAAACAGGAAATACAATAGACAAGAAAAAACAAATACTACTATTTTTTTTTTAATTGAAGGCTTTCCCGGTCATAAAATAATTTGTGTTTGAGGTGTCGATAAACAATTATTATAATTCATTTTCCTCTAAAGTCTTAGTTGAAATTTTGTGTTTTCGTATACATAATGAATATTTATCATTATATTTAATTTTGATATGTTTTAATATTTACAATTGTGTGTCTACGTGTGCATAATTTGAACAATTTACAACTCAAATCTCGATAAAGCACCCTTCTAAATAGCACAAACTCGCAAATATTCACGAAGAAATCTTTCTCAGAAGAATTAAGTAGACAATCCTTTGGTATCTGTGAATTACTAAATGTATGATTTTGTGTAGCGTGTAAAATATTCATTTATTTATTTTAACATTTAAAATCTTTCAAAGCTATTCCATGTATCTGTTGGTTCGACTGAGTCAGCATGTGATGTCTGCCCAAGATACGGGATCGTTCCTGAGTAAAATATTTGGCATCGCACTGGTACAGGCCAAGAGAAATTTTGACAAGTTTATGGTAAGAAATGCTTTATTCTAACAAAATTGACAATAATACTCACAGTTTAATTATTAATGCTTTTGATAATTCAAACAAATTTTTCTAGTCTTTGATTTTTAAGATTTTGTCATCATTAACAAATAAAAATGGATTTATTTCATTTTCTTATATGACTTTATACCACAAATAAATTGAAATTAGCAAGTAAATGAATTATTATTTTTATAAATCGTCACAATATGAAATTTTTTAATCAAGCGAATTACTTGCGACATTAGTTCCAATTTCATATTAGGATAAGTAACGAATTGTGAAGTAAAACAAGAAAATCTTAGTTTGGTAAAGTTTAACGACATAATTTCCCATCCAACCGGTACTTATTATTAGCCAGGAGAAGTTTGCCAGTGTTAGATTGTTAATAAAGCTCATGACATTCGTCTACAATAAAGAGATTAAAATAAAATATTAATGAAATGATTTATAATATGTTTACAATTAATTATAAATGTCCAAAGTATGTGGATCTAGAAGAAATTCACATACTGTAATTAGACATTTATAATTAATTTATCCCCTTATTGTATCGGGACCAGCACGGTAGGATCTTCATTGTGGTCTTTGATTCGTAATCAAAGATACACTAAAGTCGGCAAAAGTAGCCGGCATCCGGTTCTTTGCTACCTCGATTATTCACTTGAAAGGAGAGGAGCATACTTCAGACTTACATTGAACTAGGCATAAAAAAAGTATTTCGGTCAGTCTTCACCATATAGTCTGACTGGGATTTTATGTTATAATGAAAGTTCTGTTTAATAAGAAATTAATTTCTGCTTTAATAAGATTTGTTAAAATCTAAAATTTTAAAAGTAAACTCTTATTTTGCAAGATGAAAGAATGAATTTCTGTGTGTACTTGAATAATATAAAAGAAAACATAATTATTAATTTTTTATTCCTTTATGTTTGCCTCTATTCCAAATCATTTCTTTCTTTGTTAATAAATAATTTTTCTTATTTCATTGCAAGTGTGAACCGCCGGGGAGATCGGGATCGTCGACTCTCCCTTTTCGGTGACAGGTTGACCTGCTCACTTGTCAAGATGGCTAAATTTCGAATGCGGTCCCGAAGGGTCGGTATACTTTTTGTCAGGTCAAGTGGAGGAGGTGAGAGGGTCGTCGACGAGGCGTAGGCGATATGCGAGTAAAAGGACACCATTTAACAATGAGAACAACAATTTATTAGATAAACGAAAAGACAAAAAATTTAAAGAATATAAAAATCTAACATCGGGGAAGTGAATTTAGTTCACTAGCTCCTAACTCGCGGAGAGAGAGTTTACATTAATTGTTTCATACCTCTAGTTTACTTCCACGTAGGGGGAAAAATTTAGTCCTTTTTTTGTCGGTGATCGAGGCACACAGTTCGACGCACAAAGTTAAAGTTTCCCGGCGACTTAATTAATCCTTCTAGACCGTAGATGTCAGACTCCCCTGAGGAGGGGGAAAGAAGTCGCTTTTATAGCTTCGGACTGGGAAAATCAGTCGGGTGATCTCCCATTGTGTGAGATAGAGTTGGTCCTGCAGGTGTGGAGGTCAAAGTTGTTCCCGGGACTAAAACAAAATGACGAATTCGGACTTTAACTATAAACTTTTTGTCTTGTAGCAGAGGAATGTCATTGTTCGAGGGTTGAATGTTTATATGAACGATGAAAGTTATAAGTTTCGATCGATATTTGATTCTTTTTTCTGACAATGTTATTTTAACGTGGAGGCGACAAATTTATTTTAAATACGTTGAAAATTTAGGGAGAAAATGAACAATTCTGGGCTTATTCTAAGGTCGGATCTCACACAAGTATTTGAAACACAATAGTTGCATTATTGAATAAATGAAGAATCAGTGGAAAGAACCAAACGTCTGGATTATAATCAGATTTTCACTTGACAATTACTAACATAGTTCCATATTCTATCTAAATATATTAAATGTTTAAATATGAATTCAGATGGACAAAGTGTTCTAATTCCAGTGTAGTAAGGTTCGCTTACTTGACAGCTTACCTCTACCAAGCCTTATGATTGTAAAATAATTTATTCTTGCACAAAATTTTATTTTTTCATTTTTTTTTTAAAGATTAAGAATTTTCTGTTTTCTTTGAAAGGATTTTGCCCTCCAAGCCGAGACCATATTTAAAGAATCGGAACGTCGTACGGACCTGGATCGTTGGTACACCAAGTTAATCCACGCCATGTTCGACGAGATAGCCAGGGTGGCCATAGAACACCAAAAAACGCCGCAGGAAGTCGTGCTAATGGGTAAATTTACCAGTGCCGCCAATAAAAAGACACTTACGAATATTAAATTCTCAATTATTTGTTTTTTTAGAGAATTTTCATCATTTATATACTTTGTTATACCAATTGAAAATCGGTTGCTTGGAAAGCGAAAGGAAGGAAGCCAAACAGAAATACAACGAGGCCCTACAGGCCTACGTCACGCATTATTTTGGACGACCTTTGGAAAAATTAAACGTAAGAGGCTTATTCGAGTTACGGTGATCTTTTTTGGTTTAATTTTTCGGCCGAATAATTTTCTTGCCACGGGCAACAGTTATTCTTCGAAGGTGTTCAGTCAAAGGTGGCACAAGGCGTCAAAGAAGAGGAAGTGGGATATCAATTAGCATTTAGTAAGCAGGAATTGAGAAAAGTCATCAAGGAATATCCCGGAAAAGAAGTATTTTTTGGGTTAATTTTTATAAATTATACATCTATAAATTGTTTTCTAAATTTGAATCTGTATTCGATTAGGTTAAGAAAGGTTTGGAGAATTTATATAGAAAAGTGGAAAAACATCTTTGCGAAGAAGAAAATCTGCTTCAAGTAATTATATTCTTTTTCTCGAAATTAATTATTTAAAAATACCGTTTCGTAAGGTAATTTTACTTCTTTGTTTGTTACTGTTACATATATAGCATAGGGAAAGTACGACCATCGGTCGAAAAATGACCCCCCGAGATTTTTATATTTTTGGACTTAGAACAGCTTGAAACGTCCAGAAATTATTTAAACACACATCCATACATACAGAAAAAAAAAATTTTTTTTCTGTATGTATGGATGTGTGTGTTGGGGCATGATTTTGTTCACCCTGTATGAAATAACTCCTGTGCTTTTTGTCAAAAGTTTCTGAAATTTTGCAGGGAGGTTTATTAGGGGATTGATGGTTAAGGAAGTTAATGCCTGTCGTTTGTATCTCCAGTAGGGTCTGACTTAATGACGGCTTTACTCCTTATTAGCATTTATAATTTTTATGAAACTCATCCCTACATTCAAAATTAAGCTTTTTGCCGTTTTGTAATAGTTAAAAATTTTGAAGTAAAATATAATAGATGGCGCCACCAATTATCGCCGAGAAAGTCGAACAACTCGTTGCTGGTTTTTTTTCATTTGCAAGACGAAATATTGAGTGCGATTAGTTTATTTTATATTAATTAAAAATTACATTGTATCGATACAATTCAATGAAATTGTCAGATTGTTTGTAATACGCAACGAGGGACGGCGAATGGCCGAAGTGGTCGAGGCTTCGTCCACCATTTCGTGGGATTCGAGATCGAATCCGGGCAATCCGTTTCGGATGGGTTCCGAGTGGATAAAACCACTTAACACGGGTCGTGCGTTGGCCGGGTTTTCTTCGCGTCATTATCACCTAAACGGGCCGATTCTCGCATATAATTTGAGCGCCATAGAAAGTCCTCTCTCCCCAGGGGATTTTCTATGGCGCTCAAATTATACGCGTTGGCAGATTTACGAATCTTTTGCTAGCCTACAAAGAGTTTGGCCGGGTTCACAACGAAGACTCGCGCGACGGAGTCTGGCCTATCCGTTTATGAAAATCGAGCAGATCCACGCTCTTAGTCTGGAATAGCAATTTTTTTCCTCAAAAAATGAATTATTTAAGAAAAATAACTTAATGATAGTCCCGAGATTTTAGATTTGTATTTTAATTGATTTTTCTAAAATACACCTCGATAGAAAGTTCACGCAATATTAGTCGTGTTGCACGTATGCAAACTCGGGCAATTTTGATGCGTGAGACTTTTAATCAGGGAAAATATTAGAATTCTTTCCAACGCATTTAAATCGAATAAACGTAACGCGTACAACTTTAATATTAGTGTCTTTGCAAAAAACACCAACAATTTTTATGTTTGTTTGCATCTTGTGTTTTTGCTTCTTAAAAACGGCCTCGGGCAAAGCTAATCGTAAAGTTCCAGTAAATGGAAAACTAGGATCTGCTAAGTGCCGAATCTGGAGTTATTCCGGGCGAAATAGAATAGTCTGTTAAATGAACGTAACTGCGATCATCGATTAGAAACGATGGCAATCAATTTAATAATGGCGGCCATATTTTTTACTTGTTACGTTCAAAAAAGTAAGCAAACCTCCGTAAATACGGAAAAAGTTGGAATCTCGAGTGTTTCAAGCGCCCGTTTTTCTAATAACGGCACCCCCAACCTGCTAATTTTTCTTCTCGCGGCACCCCTACTTTATCAGTTACCGCGTTTTTCGTATTTCTAGTAACATACATAAGAAGCGTCGTCTCGCCGCTCGATACCCCGATCGAAAACTATCCACTTAGGTCCTCCCGGCCTTCAGGGGGTGTTATCCGTGTCTGGTACATAAAATTTGGTCTACATTAGTGTTTTTCACCATAAAGGTTTGAAAATTACAGGACAAAAATGGAGCAGTTACTGGTACAACAAATAGTAATGGCCTCCTCTGTCGTCTGACGGATTGACATCCCGTTACGTTTTATCTTATTCCCGGAATTCACGATAGGTTTTTTTTTAATAATTAACTGTTAATGTGTTTGACAGGTGGTGTGGCATTCCATGCAGGACGAGTTCATTCGTCAGTACAAGTACATCGAAAGTCTGATCGAGCGCTGTTATCCGGGTTCCATGATAACGCTAGAATTCTCCATCGTGGACATTTTGAATTTCTTCTCCGACATCGCTCGTTCTCATTAAGTTATTCTCATTCCTCTGTAATTAAATTTTCTTACATAAAATAAGTATAAAAAGTTATTCGGCGTTACCGTAGATTTCTCATTTAACTCGGCGTAACGTAATTTACGATACGTTTGCCAAAGTCGTAACTAACTACGGGCGTACGGAATGCCAATTTTTCAAAATGGCGGCGACCCTACGACGTTATAACGGTAATTAACAAAACAACTTTCGGTGTTCTCTAGTACAATTGAGGGGGGTGGTCCGGGATACGCGTTGCGTAATTTCGAGAGAGAGTACGCGTTACGGAGGTGGACGTTAGTCGAAAAGTAAAAATAGCCGATCCAACGTCGTTAGTCCCGAAAACAATGCGGTTTTCGGGTCAACGAGCGACTACATGAAAATAGTTACGGGAGATAATGGACAAATACGGTTCATTAGGATAGGCGTTAATTTTCTGCGGTTCGTCGATAATGTAATTTGGGGCCCCTTGGGGATTAAGAAAAGAGCATCCCGGACAAAATGGGGACGTGTTCCAATGCGCCAGCGCCCTGCTTTGTTGCGAAGAATTTCGTACATGGACCGGACATTAATTAATAAAATGGCCGTCGATAGTTATTAACGAAGAGAATAATTTCGTGAAAAATGTTTTTGTGCGATTACACACAAAGTCTCGGTTGTATATTAACTTCGCACGTATTACCTCTTAGTACTATTGTACTATATTTTAAAATATATGTAGGCCCACATATCGAGGGATACTCACCTTTTCTATGACTCGCTATTTCTAGGAATACGACGACGGGTCAATATCGTGGCAACAATATATCACGTATATTAGCCGAAACATTTTAAAATTCTAAACCGCGAGATAGCCAAATGAAAATAGATTAGAATACAAATTTTAGTCTCCCAGTTATCTAAGCCTAAACAAGCAAACAGAATCTGGAAGTTTTGCCGTCGACAATATGGAGGGGGAATTTGTATACGGCTGAAGTTAATTACAAGATTTCTCTCTATTTAAAAAAAATATATATGAAAACTTCTCTAAGCAATCGTTAATTTATAAAAACAAATACTTTTCGATGTTGCCGACTTTCGCCATCCCCAGAAAAGCGTATTAGATAGGTGCTACCGTGTATCGAGGCGTGGTACGTCGAGTCTTTCGACAATAAACCACGATAGAAATCAACTAGAGTTTACTTTCTCTCTCTAAACAGAGAGGCAAATCTCGTGTTTTAAAATGAAAATTTGCAATCTCTGTCTACTCCTGGCCGTCGAAGACGTCCGAAGTAAAACATCATCTATTTTTGGATTTTGTGCGCGGTAGTACGTAACACACGACATTAAGAAAAATTGCGTGACCGACCATACTAAAAATTCTGTATATTCTAATCGATTTATTTTTATTACCCCGTCGAGTTAATGTTAATAGCTACGCCGGTATTCGTGTCTATTTAGTCATCGGTCCTCTAAACTGTTAATTAACTTAGATTTAAATTGCTTTACTACCGCGTTAAATGGTATCGTACGTTATAACTCCCGATAAATCAAATAAATAACTTTTTGACCAATGGCTTACAACTGGAAATCGATCGATGCGTTACGTAACTTTCCAGCGCTGCAGATTCAATTTCTTAATGTACGAATTCCCCCTCCCGATTCATATTTTGCAGTTAGAACTTCGTACAGTCGACCCCCTATAACACTGTTGATTTTTCCATTTTATATGAATTCCGTCTTGTAGGAGTCACTTAGATTTTACAAATATTTGTGCCGGGCTGTGAACGACTCACGTATTTGTAAAATCTAAGTGACTCGTATAACATGGAATTCATATAAAACGGAAAAATCAACAGTGTTATAGGGGGGTCGACTGTATTACTATCGGCGCAATCGCGTACGTTTAATTAAACGAAACGGACGGAAATCTTCATTTATATTGGTCGGAGGAAAAAGAAAAATTCGTTAGTAGAAAAAAAGGGGTGCCCGGTTGTCTAGACGGAAACGTCAAACTCGAAAACGTGACGTGTACTCTATACAAATGACGGAACGGTGAATCGATTCAAAATAGGAGAGGCGCATAGAGTTTATTAAACTTAACGTTTGGGATTTTTGAATGATTCTATCTGTGACGTAAGGTGCCCGATTCGCGTGTCTTCGGATGTAACTTTTAAGAGGAGAGGCGCAAAATTTACAAATTACCTAGCGAAGAAGATTATCGAAAATTGTGTATTTAATAAAATTATATTAAATACATGGCGCGGGTGGAAACGTCGGTCGACGGTGTTAGTGCGTATTCGTTTCTTTTAAAACAAACGTAACTTTAACGTCATATTTACACGGAGTGGCGTATAAAATGAGAAAATATCACAAAGAACCGTTACTAGTGCTTTTTCTTGCGATGTTTTTCCTTGGATTTCGCTTCTTTCTCCGATTCCGAAGACGCGCTTTCCTCCGAAGATTCTTCGCTACTGGAACTATCGTTACTGCTGCTACTAGAATACGAACTCGATGACGTCGACGACGACGACGAAGAGGTCGAGGTCAAGGAAGAAGATTCGCTGCTCGAGTCGCTATCGGAAGAGGTGCTGTCTTCTTTGTCCGATCTAATTTTACGGTCGGATTTGAGTAAAACTTAACGCCGTAACGTCATTTTAAGGGTCGAGTCACTTACCTGGTTAATTTCTTGTCGGTGGCGGCTTGCCTGCAACGAAAAAAAAATTCTGTAAAAAATATCGTCGATATCTATTGTTTCTACCCCGAGTCCGGGGGTACGAACAAAGAGCACGTGACTCACTTCGACTTCCTCCCGTAATTCGGACGACAGAGCGGAGGCGGGGTCGACGCGCACGAACCACTTTCCATAATGTACTAGAGTTACACTACACCGCGACTATCCTTTATATCGGGTAGTGGACGGGAAAATAAGCTCCGATTGGATATAACTCGGGGGTGCGATTTGCCTTTAAACCATTATATAATAAAGACGTTTATCCCCCTTCGTAAAAGAAACGACGAGAAAATGGATGACAATATAAAATACAAGTGTCAAAGTCAATCTAACATCGATTAAATTCGATAGACCTTCGATACGAATAAAAATTAACCCATAAATTTACGTTTTAAATTAATTTGCCGGTTAGATTTTACACGTAAAATAGTTTTAACTTGTTAGAAAACCATTATTTTCAAAGATAGCAGAAATAAATTTGAAAGGGCCCAACATTTCGTTTGTAGAGTAGCAAATAACCGATAATGGCAGGTGATTGTATTAAATTTTAAAAGTTTTTTCAAGAATCTGTTTTCCTGAACAGATATTTTTTCATACTTTACACGACATAAATTTGCCTTATACCTGTATTTTGTCTCACCCGTCGAAACACTACTTTGTGTCACCCGACCCGAATGATTACAGAACAGTTTACCGTTCTACAATCGAAAGTCGTCGTTGTTACGTAAAGCTGGCTTTGGTGTTACGCGGTCCTGTCGATGACAATATTTATTCGGATTACATAAAAGAATTCGCCACTTTTCTCCCTTTTCGTCAGACGACTGTTTGCGTGTGGATAGTTGTTTGTCGTATTTATTGCGGTGATCGACTCCAGCACTCATTTAAATATCGATTAGGACGAATTCAATTTTTTCTAACACTTCTACCTTTCTCTCGCAATACAGGAATTTAATTTTAATGCCAGAAATATTGCTAAAAAATCATTTTTTTTTAACGTTGTTCTAATGTAAATTATACTTTGTACGCGGTGCTTTATTGGTAATTCCCTCCCCTTTAAAGCCGACGTCTGGTACCTAAATTAAACAATGCTCGACAGATCGTTTAGAATTTTGATTTTTTTCCTTCGATTTATAAATTCGATGAGCTTTTAGAATAGTTTTTTCGTTAAATTATCTAAGTTATTCCAATAAATTTAAAAATTTCTTTAGGATCAAATTCAAAATAATTTTATATAAACAGGCTATATGGCCCTATTATGGCCTAGCGGTAAGGTAAACCGTTCGAACTTGGTTAATTATAACTGCTAATGGTTTGATCTTCTGTGGAATGAATAGAGTAACTATTGTAGTTCGTGTTAGTACAGTTGTTTTTTTTATAATTTACATTTTATTATTGTGAAATTTTTAATGAAATAAAATTAATTAAGATTTCTTATTATGGCCTAAGCAGGCTACACTGGGAATAGCATTTATTAGATTGTTATTTATTTATTGCATAAAAACACAATCAATTTAATTTAGACAGTGGAGGCACAAATCACAAAGTATTGGAGTAGACAGACTAAATTTTTTATTTTATTATTGTTTTCTAACCATAGTTAGTTCTTGTTTATTTTATTGTTTATAAGTGAGAGTTTAATTTATTTCAGATATGGTCACTGTTTCATTTTTGATTCTCAAGAAATAAATGTTTATTTTAATCATAATTTGTGTTAATTACAATCATTTGTATGTAGGCTGTAAAATGAATGAATTCCAAATATGGCCTAATGGTACACTTTAAAAAAATTTTTTTTTTTTATGAATGAATTCCAAATATGGCCTAATGGTACACTTTAAAAAAATTTTTTTTTTTTTTGGATAATTCTAATGCAGTGATTGACCCACTGGTGACCTAGCAGTTCCGTCCCTGAACACTGGGAGTTCGGTCGTGGGTTCGCGTGTGCTGGGATGGGCTGGCCGGGTGGAGTTTTCCGGGTTTTCTCCGCGTCTGTAATGCCCAAATAGGAGCCAGTTATCCTTAAAAGACCTCTCGGAAGAAATTTCTCCCCTCGCGTAACATTGACTCGCCAGAGAAGGCAACCAAATTAAGTTGTCCTAATGAATGGTGCATAGAATTTTTTACGTTCAGTTTTTTAGAAAAAAATGTCAAAGCTTAGGTAGGCCATACTAGGAACATGTACCGTACCTTATAAAATGAATGCATGTATATTGAAAACTGCAAATTTTCATTTAAATTCATCCATTTTTATGTAAATAAAAAAATGAAATTGTTTAAACTGCATAAATTAAATTCCTAGTTGTAATGTCATTTTTTTTTCTTTTATTAGAATAGTGAAAAAATATATACCTCAAAAAAAGAACAAAATTAATATTAGAAAATATGCAATTAGCTTTTTTTTTTTTCAATCTTTTTCATGTCTAAAGTAAAACAGAGTAAAAATAAGCAATTATTTATTGTGACGTCGTCACAATGCAAGGATGCAATTTTTAATCAAATTTGTAATTTATTTAATTTAAAATATATGCTCTCCACCTCAAATTAGTAGTGGTTTGCCCCTGTACATCATACTTTTCCTTTAACAATATAGTGGCACCGGTCATCTATTAACTGCTTTCAGGGGAAAGTTTTGAATTGAAATAACATGACTTCCAGTTTGCATCAGAAGTTTGTGTGTAGTTAATTTCCCCCTGCCCCTAATGTTTTCATATCTGATCTCAGATTTCACCTAACTTTGTTCTCAAGATTAAGGAAGGAAAGAGACAGATGGCTGCATGACATTGGGAATTTATAGGTCTCCAATTTTTTCAAATTGCAGCCCAAACATTATTTTATAGAAAGATCTGATAAAATAAGAAAAAGATATTGAACAACTAATAAATTCCAATGAAACACTTTGATCATTTGATAAATTTATAAAAGATAATAACCAGCTTAAATACAAAAATTTATATAAAAAGTAAGAAAATTCTGATGCAAACAGAACTAAAATTAGCTGTTAACTGTATCAACTTTATACAGGTATTGTATGCCCATATATAAGCAAACTGATGTCTATATATTTAAGTAATGTAAACAATTGAGACATTTTACAGACTATGGTCTAATTTTTAAGGTTTCATACATTTACAGTTCATAATTATTAAAAAAAAGTTTGTATAATTATAGTTTATATTAAAAATATTTCTTAAATGAAAGAATAGTTTATGTACTGTACAATTAAAATCTTTTTTTAATTTTCTGTCATGTTGATATTAAGAGAGCAATATAAATTATCTTATTTTTAAAATTTACTTAATAGTTAATAATGAGTATTATATTATTTAAATATAGTTTTATTAGTACAATTTTTATTCTGATTTATTTTAAACAATAAACATGTAAACTGCATTACATTTTTAATCCAAGGACATACATTTAAAAAGTAAGCAAAATTTTTCATGGATAATTAGTTTTTAGTACTTAAGGATGTTAATGCAAACTCAAATAATCATGTTTTCTTGCCTAGAACAAAATTTCAAATTAATTAATGAAGCATACATGATTTATTATTAATAAAGTCATCAATATATTTGATTTTTAAAAAGTATCTACATGCAAAAAACAGTTTGTGTCACATTTTTCAGTAATTATGTATCAACTCTGCAGTGTAAAAATAGTGTTACTAGAATCAAAATTTATTGTATGTATAATTTAGGAAGTTTTATAATTTACTTTAATTTAAACTTTATAATTTTATAATTATAAAGTTATCAAATGCATGGTTAATAAAATGTTACATCATCTAAATTAAGATATATCTGACTAAACATCAAACACTTCAATGTTAAATAAAAAGTTAATAGTTTGAATTAAGTTAAACTGAATTTAGATTCATGAAATTAACATCAGATCAATAGATCAGAATAAAATGATATTTTGATTCTATCATCTTTACTTTAGACAATAAATGAAAATACTTTTATACTTGCTTTGTTTAAGCAGATTTTAATTTTAAAATTTGTCATATACATTAATATTTTCTTTTTAAAAATTTATAGAAAATACATTAAATTTAACATAATTTGCTTATTAATATTTTAAAATTTTCTTTTTTTTAATTTTGTTTATATTAGATTAAATGTTTTTGATTTGTATTTAAATTTCTTAACATTTAATTAACAGTAGTTATAGTTATTTGAGAAAATAACAGGATATAGTGAATAGAATCAAAATATCAAGTCATGTTACTTAAAAGTTTAAAAATTGTAAAGTATAAAATAAACAAATTTTAAGATAAATTACAATTTATCTTAAAATTTACCATTATCAACAAAAGAATTATGTACAAAATTAATGAAATTATAAGATAAACTAATTTTTAAAATCTACTTTCCAAATTTTTATATTGTTAAATATAATTCTTTATGAGAATTTTTAACATAATTTGATAATTTTTTAAATTAATAACAAAATTATACCACATATAATATACTATTGTATATTATATGTGATATAATTTATTGTATAATTTATATATATTATCATTTATTGTTTGCATTACCAAAACAATTCTGCTTACTAAAAATTATTTACATGCTTCTTTTAAGTGTACTCTTTGGTCAGCTTCAGGCAATTACATCCAACTCTGTATTTAGGTATAGTTAGCTCAAGCTGGCCAAATAGTAGTCTGAAAACATTCCAAATAAATTCTTACTTTTGGCTTCCTTAATTAATAAGCTGTTTGAGTTTACTTTTATTTCTACTTCAATGACATTGAACATTTAAACATATCTGTAAATTTCAATACATTTGATAAAATAACTGTTCTCATTTTCTGTAATTAATAATTTACAAAAATAACTATCAGTTTGTAAATAAGGCAGATTCGGCAACACCAAGGCTCATGCCTTCTATTGTTACTCAGATGATGTTACTCATTTAACTTATAATTACTTTAGTTACCTAATCAAAGTCATGCAATATGCATTATTATATCTAATTTTACTTTAAAGTAACAAAACTGACTGTTTTGGTATCAAGGTGTGCTGCAGCACTATAAGCACCTCCCTGGATTTGCCCCTATAACTTACAATATATGTATTATACCTATATAAAAATATTACAATGTTTCTTTGAATGACAATACTGTCTATCATTAAAATAATAAACTACATATATTAGGTGTAATGTATCAAAAGTGTTCATAAAATTATCATTACCTTTATTGTTTTGTCTGATATATATAATTTCCAATTTTAATGTAACACTACAGACATTTTTAAATGTATAAATTTGAATTAAAGTGATGATGTTTAAAGGTTTTTTTTTCATAAAAAATATAAAACTGTGTAAATTCTATATGGTACCAAAACAGACTTTAATATAACAATAACCAGAAATCAATTCATAAAAATAACCTTTTATGAAAATCATTTAGTAAGTTTCAAAAAAGACAAATTAAAACAATACTTTGATTCTTAAACACTATGTAATTTTATAATTTTTTTAATAAATTTTTATAATCAATCATGAACTACCCTCTTTATGATGTAAAAATATGCTATTAGTATGGAACTGTGTAGTAAAAGTGACAGATGACAGTATAAAGCAATGTTTCTTAACAGGGGGGCCGTGGATCCCTGGAGGTCCATAAGAAGTTCCGGGGGCCACCAAATTATGCAAAATTTATGCATATTTGTGTGAAAAAGGGTTCTCAACTAATGGTGGATATAAAAACAAAAATATGCAATCAATTGCAATTAGATGCCTGCATAGCATTACAAACAATTGAACCAAGAATTAACAAATTAGTTGAGGATATTCATCAGTAGAAATCTCATTAAATTATTTTCAAATATTTTTTGTTTTTTCTATGAATTTTTAAATGTTTCTAATTTTATTTTTTGTTAAAAATTAATGACTTTTTATGTTGAATTGTGAAGTTTGAATGTTATTTAAATAGATAATGAAATAATAGTTACCTTACGTTTTACATTTACTATATAAAAAATCAATTTATTATGTATAATTTAACAAATATAAATTATTATTAAAAAAATGGGGGTCACAAAAAAATTATGAAATATTTGGTGGGCTTCAAGTATAAAAAGGTTAAGAACCACTGGTATAAAGTAAAGCTAACGAGGATATATCTATTTGTGTTTTATTTAGTAAATATGAATTTTTTTATATAACAGTAAAAAACAAAATTTGATTTGAAACTTAATATCATATTGCATCTTAACCATGAATGAATACAGACGTAAGCAAAAAATCTTTTACTGACGGTACATCCATCTTTTAATTTTGTAACCCAAAAAGGAAACAATGAAGATCTATATATATAAAAATGAATGTATGTCTGTCTGTGTGTCCTTCATGCATTACCACACCGTTTACCCAATTGCCATGAAACATTGGGAAGTTGTTTAATATACTCCCGCAAAGGTTTCTGGCATAGTACATTTATCCTATGATAGATGGCACACATGTATACAAGCATTTTACTGTGTGTTCGATCGATTTCAAATTGTGAAGACCATTTTCCCCCTCCAAAAAATATCTCTATATATGCATTTGTTATTTATGATATTTGTAATAATTTTTGTTTAATCACTTTATTTCAACTTTTTTTGCTAATTATGTATTCGCTCGAACTTTGTTAAAACCTTAACTGTATCCTGAACAACAACTGAAGTTGTAGGAGGAAATTCGCCTATTTTACCAATCTAGGGATCCCCCTTTTCCAAATTTTAATATCAACTCAAAATAATTTAAAAAGACAAATTACAATAAAATGGTTTATTATCCAACTATCAGAAATTTCACAACATGCCAAGGAAGAGAGGAAGGAGCAATTAAATAATCAAAATTATAAAGGATTAAAAAATATAAGTAAAAATGGGGAATATCGCACTTCTGACAATCTTTGATGTGGGCTAAATTTAAAGAATCCGTGCTTCTCACATGTACAACTGTATGTGGCCAGCTCATGCATTGGAAAACCTTCTGATTTATTCGTGTATGCACCAGACGAAAAAACAAAAAATATCGTGTATCCACAAGCACTCCAATAAATAAATAGAATTGAAACGACACTTTGAAATGTTTTCTCGATGAAAATGAATAATAATAAGTTTCAATAAAAATGATAAAATGTAAATTTAATTTTATCATAACGAGTTTGCTTAAATTTTGTTTCTTCTGAGATCGCAGCAATGCGCAATGGGTAAGCTAGTACACAATAAATGTGTAAGCTGTATAAACATGTATTCGTCCATGATACCCAGTTTATAAATAATCCTGAGGTATGTTCTAAAATATCTTTACCACTTGTATATTTTTTAACGTTTTACGAACTGTACGTATTTTTTGATATAAATTTTAGTTGGTTGAAGTGAAGTGAGTATCGGGTTAGTGTTGTTTGTTTATATTTATTTATAACTTATAACAAGCACAAAATAAAAAAAATAATAATATTAGTCACATATATTCACAATTTATAATTACAAAGATCAACACACGTACACACCTATTCGTTCAAGAATCGTCACACACATCTGAGGGTCTGACCCTGCCTATCCTTCTTTTTAAGCACTCGTCTTTGCTCTTCCCTTTCTCTTTCCTCTATTGCTCTAGTCTACGTATGCCTATGAATACATCATAATACACTCTCACAATACTTTCGATTCGTCACTTTTCCGTTGTAGTTTTCCCATTTTACAATTACACGACTCATAGCCTGGTAATAATGGAGAAAAGAGACAGATAGGATGTCAGTATATGTCACAGTTATGATTTCACAGATTTGAGACAGCTTGGTAGCCCGAACGGCCCCAGGCTTTCCCGTGCACGCTAAATGATTTTCATTACAAGCATTTAGCTTTCCGAAGTCTATGACAACAATTATTTGGCATTGACAACTGCAAATTTTGTGCCAATAAGCTGCTTCAGGCTGAATATACTATTTGTTGCAACACTAGTTTGAATTTATTACACTACATAGTGTTTTAGAATCAAAGAAGAGTCACAACACGGTTTCAGATTATCTAAAACAATACTGACAAAAGAATCACAATTTCCTAAAAATAACTTCTGCTAATATCAGAATGTAATGCCTACATTTAGAACTTATTATGTTTTGGAACATAGCTGAAAATTTTGTAACATCAGTTTCTATCAGTTCTTTTGCTCAAAGTGATAAGAGAAATTAGGTATTTTCTATTACTATTTTTAAGCAGCCAAATAAGGAATTACTGGTGACATCACTCCAGAAACCAAAAACTAAAAAAGATTGACTAATGCTGAAATTTTAACAAATTATTTTTAATTTCCTTTAATTATTACTCATTTCAAATTCAAATAACTATTTAAAGAATTTGATATCAAAATTCAACTGAAAATATTAACCATTTTCTTGTTAATGTTAATTATATCTGTTTTTATCATCATCAAAGTATGTTGGAAGAATTTACATTTGTAACACAAACTATATTTATTAAAAAATCCTTAGATGATAATTATTACACTTACTGAGTCATGTACTGTTTCTTCCCCTCTTCAAGTTTTTGTTTCTTTTTTAAGATGGTGGTTCGAGAAGGCCTATGTAAGTATTTCCTTTTGCCCGTGCATTCGTAGGTCCAATGACCTTTTTCTAAACATTTTTGGCATTGAACGTTTGAAAGATTTGAAGTACTGTAAAAATAAAATATACTCATTCATTATTATATTCAAAATTAAAATTTCACATTATATTTAACAAAAAATATAATTTTCTTGTATTTCTTACAATATTAAAAATTTTCTTAGGAATGTAAAAAATTTATATAATACAATCTCTGAAATATAAACACAGAAAAATTAGAACAACATAATAATAAGACTAACAAATAAGTCATAAAAATATTGCTAAAATGACAAAATAAAATTTAGTAAAATCCATTATATAAAAGTTCTTTTAATAATCATTAATATGATATGAATGCACATCAGAGAGAGTTGCATGCAGACTGACTGCACTACAATAAAGGAAAAATTAGTTATCTATATATATAAAAACGAATGTATGTCTGTCTGTGTGTCCTTCATGCATTACTACATATTTATCCGATTGTCATGAAACTTTGGGAAGTTGTTTAATATACTCCCACGAAGGTTTCTGGCACAGTACATTTATCCTACGATAGATGGCACGCATGTATACGAGCATTTCATCATGAGCATTTCAGCATGGTTAGGAGTTGAAACTTGAAATTTGGTACACAGTTAGGGTACATCACAAGAATGCACACTAACAAGTGATTTTTTGAAATCCCCCCGCGGGGAAAGGAACAGGATTAAGGCTTCAACAATGGAAGTGTTATGAGAAAGCAACGTGCAAGATTTACAGGCATAGATGTGGTTTTTTGCGTTAAATCGAACATAATTTTAGACCCATCTAAAAATTTTCTAATTAGTCTGGAAACAGGGGAACCTAATTCTAGCATTCTGTGAAAACGGGTAAGATTGGCTATAACGTAATAATCTTAATCTTCGCTAGTGTTACTTTTTGCCCAAGCAACGCCGCACTTATCTGCTAGTATTTAATATAAGAAAAACTCTGTATAAGCATAGATAGGCTTTTGCTAAATAAGTTAGCATGAGCAATATTGAATTTGACATCATATCAGTATGACAAAATATTTTTGAAGTTTTATAGGTATTTCAAATTTATTAAATAAGCTTGTTGAGTTTATGTTTTAAATTGCATATATGAACTTAAACATAAAATGCATATATCTAAAAATTATTTTTATTTTGTATATATGTATAAATATATAAAATTAAATAAAACAAGAGTAGCTTTGCCTTTTCTCAAATGATAGAAAAAAACATGATTTAATATAACTTTAATACAGAACAGTTTTCAAGTATATTTAAAATTTTAAATCATACAAATATTTAAAAATAAAAGATGTTTGAATAATAACATAATCTATACATATATAAAAAAAAATTCTGTCTATCCTTTATGTTTTTAAAAACAGAGCAAATGCAACTAAATTGTATAAATAAACAAAATTGTCCTCTCATCAAGAAAGTTGTTGATGACTTTTTGTTTAAAAGTATCACTACTTGTACCTAGAGGTTTTTGATAATTATTTGACATTGTTATGACATTTTTAATTGTAATTTTTACATAATTTTCTACAAATACTTTTGAAATACCACAGGAGGAATCAGCTTTTTGGATCAATATTCATTATAAAGAGTTGAGTAGTTGTTGAGAGAAACAACCAGCACACAAATCATTCTGTAAACAAATTCACATGCTGGTTTTCAGACTAAGTTCTTCAGCCATGATACCTATTAGAATGATGAGTATTGTTTGATGCAATTGAATTTCCTTATCCAAAAGCTAAAAACATTGTATATCAATCAACTTATAATAAAAACTATTTTTGAAAGTAAATTTTTAGAATGAAAAAATAAACTAATTTTTTAATAAAATTTTATAAATGAAACTGATTCAGAAAATTTGTTCTTGCACAGGATGTTTTGTAACATTTAATTCATTACTTAAATCAGTAATTATAGATGATTAAGTGCTACAGACAAAAATTAAAACAGAATAATAATAAACTGGTAATATTAGGAGGTAATAAATAAAATGATTACCAAAATATATCAATTAATATTATGTTTATTTTCATTAAATCTTGACCTTATTATTAGTTTCTCTTTCCTATATCTCAGATGTTTTTTCCACAACGTTTAACTGTTTATCAGTGATTAAATTTTTTCTGTCATAATCTTAAGAATGAGTTAACTGCAATTTTCTATCTTTAAGTAAAAACATTGGCAACAATTTATTCATATAATAAATAAATAGTTCTTAAATGTTTTCATAGTAAAAACTAGATATTTAAAATACTTTTTATTTTCATCGAATGTAATGAATCATAGAATTCTCAATGACTCAATAAATCTAATTTAAAAAAAATTATTTTACAAAAGAACAAGCCATTTCCAGTTATAAAATCACTAGAGTTAATAGATTAACGTCTACAAACTTGCCATAGCAACTTCACAGAATTATAATTTCTTCTTTAATATCCTTAATTTAGAATGTCTAGAGTTCCTATTTAATTTGTCATATCTCAGTATTCTTCTTAACTTCTTTCATACTGACAATTAGAAATCATTAAATTACAGTAGGTGATCAGTTAACGAACAGTTTGGACTGCAAACAAATCGGACAATGAACACTTTCATGAAAGATTTTTATGTTCGGACAACAAACACATGTTCGGATAAAGAACACCTGACAGAACAATCACAAAAAGAAGCAATGCTGCATTTGTGATTTGTAAAACTATATTTTAATGGCATCTATACATGGTTTATGGAACGAGATTTTCACAGTTATATACATAACCTTTTTTTTGCACTAGTTAATTTCTGTTCTCTGAACTTTTGTTAAGTGCTTTTCTATACTTTTTATTTGAAAAACTCATATTATGATGGGCCTAAAAAGATTGGAGTGCCAAGAACTGTGTTCACTATAGAAAGTAAGCAAGAGATAATAGCCAAAGTAGAGAACCGATTTGGTGGACGCGGGATCGAATCTGGACAAGTCGAAAAATCCTCAGGAATTTTTCGGGGTTGGTCCATCCGGATTTGTCAGGTCCCGTCGCTCACCACCCGGCCACACCATTGTGGGCCTGGCTGAACCCATAACAGGCTTGTTAAAAGAGGCCCTCTTAATGCCCACAGGAAAAAAAAAAAAAAAGCCAAGGTAGAGAGTGGGCAGAAGATGTCTGATACTGTAGGCAGATGACTTCAACAGGTCTATGGTAGATACAATCTTAGCTAAGAAAGATATAATCAAAAAGACTCAAGCAGATAAAGAAGTAACGAAAATCACATTTGAGAAACAAAGATGTACCACCCATAAAAAAATGGAGAGATTGCTTATAGTTTGTTATTACATGTAAATATAGTAAAAAAGTAGTGTTACCACCCGTCCAGTTTTCATCCAGACAGTCTGGGAATTGACTCACTGTCCGGGTGAACTGTTAATTTTGTCTGATAATTTCATAGAAATTGTGAAATTACAATAAAACAAAGTTCTTGCAAATATTTTTACAAATTTACACTATTTTAACAGTGAAAGAACTCACACTCACTGAAACTCATCTGCAATTCTGCCATGTTAGTCTGTTTATGCCAATGTGTGGCGCGCAACCTGTCAACTTTTTTTTTTTTTTGCATGTACTGTACAATCATACACGTCTCCAATGTATGATCGTACAGTGTACAATCATACATTGTACAGTGATCCAATGTACCTGTTGTTTCTTAATTTAGGTTACTTACGTTACTCCCACGCAAGTCCCCAGTCCCTAACTGTAATTGATTTGGAACGGGCTAGCACGTTATTCTTTGCATTGTAAAATGACATAGCGTACGTGTCAGGAACTTCTGTTCAAACAAAGCCGACTTGCCGTCCGGGTCAGCGATTTTGAAAAGGTGGCAACACTATAAGAAAGTATATAATTTATTTATTTATTTTTGGGATCGTCAGAACGAATTAATGAAATTCCCACAAAAATCTATAGTAAATCAATAATCGGTTAACGAACAATTCGAATAGCAAACACGGTCTCGGAACGGATTACATTCGTTAACCGATCACCCGCCGTAGTTCCTTATAATTGTTTTTAGATCTAACTGTCGTAGAACAAAGAAATTTTCTTTTTCACATCTCAAAGCAAGTTGTCCCACACTATTAAATCTTGACTTTAAGATCAGATCACGTTACATCAATCGTTAAACCACTTTTTGTCCGATTATAGTATTAAATTATATTTAAATTGACTGGGTTATCAAACATGCAAGATTATATTTATTAACTTATCCCAAATTGGAATATGTTAATAAATAAAATGGTCTGTATATACTTCGGCGACTTAGTATAAGTATCCTTAAATACAATTTAATAGTATAACTCTGTGGCCAAACCGACAGTAAATGCAGGTGCAAACGCGACTCCGAAGCCGTCGGGAGCCGTAGACCACACCCGTAGGAGTAAAAAAGTCAAAGGAACCGAGGACACGTGACCATTCTCGAGAAGTAGCAATGTAGTATATAGTACGGTACAGGTTTTTACTCCTACATCTCTGAAAGTCCCAACCACCACAACTTCTACTAAACATATATACAGTTACTATTTGATTTCCTCAATATATTTGTACTCGTGTCTACAAGCAGATAAAGAATTTATTTCGTAATTTAAATGCCATTACATTTCTCACAAATGAATTATTACCGTATATTTTCCACTCGAAAGAGATCGTCTGTCAAAAATCGAGCAAGATGAAATATAAAATAATAAACCATTTATTCTTTATTAAACTTGTAATGAGTGACCAGAACGTTTGACTTACACTTTTCTTTTAATAGGTATGTTTAATAATCCTGCCATATTTCTCTTTTTCTTCTGTATTTATTTTGTGACTTCGTCTGGCGACGTTCTTCTCACTTCTTGTCCGAGAAAACTAATGCGCCCTCTAATGGAATATATTTTCGTAATAATTATATTTTATTTCTTACGAAATATACTGAATGGTACGCTATTAAAATATTTTTAAAAATTTAATTAAATTAAAATATATATTAATTCATAAAAACAATCATAATACGTAAGAAAAAATTATAAGAAAGTTTACATAAGTAAAGCTAAGCAGAGCGATTAATTCTGTCTTCCGTTCCCTCCGAATAGTTTCGCATATGGATCGGTTCCGGACCCAGAAGCGGAACTGGATTTTTCCACCTCTAATCCAGAGTTCAAACGTTATATTAATATAGATCAAATACTATTTAAATAAGTTCAATATCGTGTTGTTTAAAAATTTAAATTTTTGTCAAAAAAAAATTTAAATTAAAATGATATACAGTCGACCCCCTATAACACTGTATTTTACAAATACGTGAGCCGTTTACAGCCCGGTACACGTATTTGTAAAATCTAAGTGACTCGTACAACATGGAATTCATATAAAACGGAATTATCTACAGTGTTATAGGGGGTCGACTGTACATAATGATGAGCGCGTGATGGTCATAATGGAGAGTGATGATATTAGGGACGTCAAGTAATCGTTCCGGCATCAAAAGCTTTAATTAATTAACAGTGCTGTCAAAAATTATCATTAGGCCTATATACAGTGTTTGTATCGGTGCCAATGCCATTTTTAAACCCGTTTTACCAGGCCAAATAGATTTAAATTTCTACCTAGAGATGGCGCGATGTTACATTCGATTAAACAATTTCTATAAGAAATTTGAACTCGATTCGTAGTTTGTTTTAAATTCTGGGGTCATTAAATCAAACAGGACACGATAAAAAAAATTCTACCAAATAAAACCAATAAATAAAAAAAAATCACAAAAGCTGGAGAAGTCTTATCTGAGGCACCAATAAGGATTTTACAACCGTCGAATGATCTAAGAGACCGACATTTTTCTTTTATCCACCCGAGTTAATAAAACGTCTTGGATCACTTTAAAACCGGATACGAGTGTACCGGTATACCAGGCGGGTATATCCGAATAGGCGCTCCTGTTTAGGCATACCCGCTACGAATTGTTTCCTAAGACATGGAAATGTTTATGCTTTATTTCCTTATATTTAGCAATTTTGAAGGGTTACAATGCACGTTTAAATTAATATACAAAACAAAAGTCCGTAAGTCACTTTACCACCTTAAAAGGCATTTCTTACATAATACCCTGTTTAAGAGTTTGGCAAATGAATTGAAGATTTTCTGACCTTTCTAAAGGCCTTTTAAATCTTTTTTATCGTAAATTATATAAATGTAGATAGAACTGGATGAAATACGTTATACATCATTAGAAGAATTACATATTCCCGTATAGAAGTTGAGACGGAACGAGTGGGAACTTTAGGATCTAAGTTTAGGACTTATGGTGAAAAAGGGGCCGCTGCAATGAGCTCGTAGATCCTAAAGTTCCCGTCAGATTGGTGTCGTAATTAAGATTATTTAATTAACTAGGGAGAAAAATTAAACTAAATTATCTGCCATTTCCATGCTCCACACCTTTAACTTATATTCATAGCTTTGAATCGTTTACACACCACAAACGTTACGTGGTATGTAACCACAAGATGAACTTTTTAAAATTCATTTTTTTAATTTTTAATTTAATGATGCCCGTTTTATATAATAATTTGAAGCATTATTCTATCAAAAGTTAATGTTAATGGCTTACAGAATAAAGGCTACGGGACGTAGAACAGGACAGAACATCTGGCGAAATGCGTGTTTAAATACATTCGAAAAAGTATTATGCCGTACATGAGAGGTTCCCAATACAGTCGACCCCCCTATAATACTGTTGATAATTCCGTTTTATATGAATTCCGTGTTGTACGAGTCACTTAGACTTTACAAATACTTGAACTATGAACGGCTCGGGTATTTGTAAAATCTAAGTGACTCGTACAACATGGAATTCATATAAAACGGAATTATCAATAGTGTTATAGGGGGTCGACTGTAATTCCCTGCATCGACCCCTTTCAATATTATACGTATATATATTCTTACATAATTTTTAAAAGATATCTTTCTACACTTATTTAAGAGCAGACAAACAGTGTGTAAAATTTTTAATATTTTAAAAGAATTTTTTATATTTGCGAAGTTTTATTGACCCCGTTGGGAAATCTCGATTTACATTATCTTACGAACTTAAACGAGTCACTAAAATAAGAAATAAATAAACGTTTATTCCTAGTTTCATTGACACAGAAAAGCACATTTTACGTAAGTTATGGTGTTAACCTCAATTTAAATTGCTATAGGGAAGTTCTGAGTAGACATACTTTTATTTTATTCGATTTAATAACAAATACGATCCTCATATATATCTAAGTATACAGGGAAGTTTAATTTGTTTTTTTTTCTTAGGTTAAGAGTTGAAAATATACTTTACGTGTGTCCAGCGAATACCATACCAGGTATTTTCTTATCTGTTTATTTTTTATTATCACGTAAAATATTTGAATTCGCCTAATCTAATCAGACATTTTAACATTTTGACGCACTCGATTTAATAAAAGGTTACATACAGACAATTAATCCAAATTAATTTTATTCTAATAAAAGAAGGAGATGAAAGTAATCATCCGCGATTCTTTCTAGCAATCAATAGGATTGGCCGAAACTTAGCTCTAAACCAGATATTGCGGGCAAAAGGTCAAATGAACGTTTCGCGTATAGCTCGAGCCACCTAATTATGAGACAACATCGAGAGAGGAGGGGGAGATAAAAGAAGCCAGCCAGCCCTTCCCCCAAACACTTGGTTCTCTTTATATCTGTACCGAGTTAATGGCCCTCTTGTTAACTGCTCTACCCTCATAAAAACATTACGTTTGACAGCTATATAGCATCGGTGGGGATTTACAGAGGTGACGTCAGGCTTCGAACGAGATCTCGTAAGCTATCATCTTTCTCTTAAATTATGCCATCTACACCAGACGTTGACGGACGTTTTACGAGGCGTGTTTTTTCATTTCTTTCCCCCCCGCTACGAAATCATTAGCGACAGAACCGATGGCGATTGGTTCCTCTGTTTAAGCCTACCGCGGGGTCCCCGATGGGCGGAGCGCTCTTGCAAAAGTGTTGTTTGTCTGCGGGTGGCGCCGGTCTTATCTAGCAGCAAACATCTGATGTAAGAGATAGGTCGGATTTTTCATTTTTTTTTTTTTTCGAATAAAAGGAGTATCGAGTGATTGTTAAATAATACGATAAATATGTGTAAACAATTTGCATTTTTTGGGGAAGGGGAAAACGTAAGCCCACGTTTTAAGTGTGGAAAAATAAGAGAGCATTTCGGTGTATCGATTGTAATTACCAAACATTTGGTATGCTTAATTTTTGGTTAGCATTCGATGCGTTTCCGAGGGACCAAATTAATGATTTTATGACCACAGTTCGGGGTTGTAAAGTTGATTGACTGCATCAATGTGTGTGTGTGTGTGGATCTAAGGCGAGTAAACGATAATCAAGCGCCGGGAAAATTAAACGAGACGAGCAAACTGACCGAAAGAAACTAATTTTGTAGAATTTAAAATGAAAAAGAGTAGCCTATTTATTGAAGGACGAAATGGAAATTAAAATGTCGTCGGCATAAAATGTAATTGCTAAAGAGTTATACTATTTCAAAGTTTAACGGTATAGAAAATGGCACGTAACTTACCGTCAATAGCCTTTAAAATTCATTTTTGTACAGTTTAAAAGTCGATAGTCCATTTAAAAAATTTTTTTTATCGCTTTCGGGATGCGGTGGAAAAAATGCGGAATTAATTTTATATTACAATAAAAATTGCATGCAAACGTGTTAATTGTTTCTATATTCGTATAAGTAAACATATACCTCATTTATTAATTTTAAAAAAATCCAGCAACGAGTGACGTAACGTTTCCAGCCAAAAAACTTAAAATTGCGCGTGGTGCCATCTGTTAAGAGATTTAATTTAAAAATTTTTCCATGTTACAAATTATTAAAAAATGGGAAAAAGCTTAATTTTGAAGATAGAGAAGAGTTTTATTTAAAAAAAAAAATTGTAAATGCTAATAACGAGTAAAATCTTCGAGTTCGTCCCCTCTCGATATACGACACGCGACCCCCTCTATCTCCCCACCCTCGCGACCTTTAACCACCAAAATTTAATATCATCGACACCTCTAATAAACAAACCTCCCTGCGAAATTTCAGAAGTTTTCGACAAAAAGCACGGTAGTTATTAAGCTTCAAAGAAGGCGAACAAAATCTTGTCCCCCGCAAACACGTCAACATTCACACATACTTTTTAAATTTCTCGACGTTTCGTGGTTCCCAGAGTCCAAAAATGACCCCCCCAGATCCCGATAAAATTCTTGGAGTCTCGGGGGAGTCATTTTTTATATAATTCCCTTAATATAAGTAATAAATTAAGTATTTATATGTAACGTAAGTTCTGTATGACGCTTATATTCATTCTCAAAAAACGGTTTCTTTCTAGCCAGTCACGATGCTTAATAAAATAGAAAAAAAGCGAAACTTTACCAATGAATATCCCGTGTATATATGGTCGGTAATATTGATTCGATGGGCCTCTTTGGGTAGGCCCAAAGAGGCCCATCGAATCGACCCTACTCGTATTCGAATCTAATAATTAAATACTGTAATAACGTTTGTTTATCAGGAAACTTTGAAAATAATAATCACGTATTAGCATTGATTTACGATATAAATAGTTTTATAAGGATGACGTTTTTCATTTTATTAATGTCTCATATTGTTTTTGCAAAATTTTATTTGTAATTTCACACGGCCTTGCGTAATTTACGTATGTAAATTAATTTGCTTAATATTTTTAATATTTCGCGCGGTTTTGAATATCCCCATTGTAGGTCTACCTCATACGGGTTTTGATATCCACGATAGGCTCTGGCAATAAGGCTTTATACAGTCGACCCCCCTAAAACACTGTTGATTTTTCCGTTTTATATGAATTCCATGTTGTACGAGTCACTTAGATTTTACACATACGTGTGCTGGGCTGTGAACGGCTCGAGTATTTGTAAAATCTAAGTGACTCGTACAACATGGAATTCATATAAAACGGAAAAATCAACAGTGTTTTAGGGGGGTCGACTGGTATTAGATAATTTATACATAATCTATGCTATTCCTTCGTGAGAGAGAGAGAGGAATAGCATCAATAATGGTATGTTTGGCCACCCCTGTTATGTTCTTGAAGGATGCCGTTCAGAATATTATGCGAGAATACCTAAGAAATTAAAAAAAAAGAATATTTCTATCTTAAGAAACAAACAAAAAAAATCAACAATTGTACAAAGATATTTTAATGATTCAACAATAGGAATAAATAATAAAAATACAGAATTTTTAATGATATAAATCGACCAATTAGTAAAATAAAATTGTAAAATGCGAATGAAATTCTGAATGAAGTAATAATAATACCCGAATTAGATTGTTACAACAATTTTTATTTTTAAAAACAATGCACAATATTGTACAGGGGTTCAATTCTGGTTAAAACCGATCATTTTAAGGAATTGTTTTTTTTTAGCCGTTACAACGTTTCCATTAATACAAAATAACGTTAATCTACGGTAGTTACTAGTGCGATGTGTTTAGTTCTGTATTCGTGTATAGAAAATGAAATATTTTACTGTAAATTTTAAATATATAAGACTATAATATGGTTATATCTATCGGTTCTTGTATAAGAAATGTCTCATATTAGAGACGTTTCTTATACAAGAATAAATATATAAGGTTGTTTTTTTTAAATTATACGGCAATATTTTGAAATAAAATTGACTCGTACATGGAAACAACTCGTCCAAATGGAGGAAACAATAAACACGAATTATATACATGAATGAACGAGTTATTTCTAGTTAACTTAATTACATTCAATCCGAATTGGATTTCTTACGCTCGTTACAGCATATTATTAAGTTCTGTTATCGAATCTATAGATGTAGGAACCCGAACCCGGGATCTAAATTCGTCTTTTGTTACAAATAGGATAACTATTTTACAATGGTGTAACGTTAGATTCGATATAATTTCGATGGAACCACTGATTTTACTCATTTCTCTTCGATAATACAAATTTAATGGCACAATTTTAGATTAAAATTCAATAAGGTTTGGTTTACGACCAGAAGATTTTCGTTTTAACTTATTTTAGGTTAGTCAAATGGCTAAGAACGTCATTCGGTCGATACGCAAGATGAACACACAGAGAACTCGATAGAAAAGGAAGAAAATCAAAAGAGTAATCTCGAAATAGAAGATTTAAATGTGATTTTTCATCCGATATTAAAATATTTTTCGTAATTTTATCTCCTTTGTCGTTCAAGATTATTGTATTAAGTTCCCTCATTGTTCATCCTTTGTTTTTAGTTTAAAATCTAAACAAACCTAAGGTACTAGTTGAAAATTATCTTCTATTTGCATTGTTTTATGTATAGATTATAGAATACAACCAGCGAATTTAAATGATTTCGTGATAAACGGGATGTTGTATGTAATTAATCTTAACATTAATAGACGTGTGCACGGATGAAATTCTTCTTTTTTTTTTTATAATCTCATTTGTCTAAGCAAATGATTACAAATTTGTAATATGGGAATTTTTATTTTACACAAACAGCGGATTGCTCACTTTGACAAATATTCTGTGCATGGAAATGTTTTAAGTCGATATCCAGTAAAAATTCAAACTAATTTAACTTCCAAATAATAGAATTTGGCGCTTGGGGAATTAAACATATTGTAGTTTGTATTACCATTGTTATACCTAGGAGTCGCATTTTATACGCTTCCGTGTGTAATGAATTATACAAATTGCCTGGAAAATAAGCCCGTCGGCCTCCTCGTATGTGAGGTACGGTACGTAATCACACGCGTGTTAGGTACTGTATTTAATACCTAATCACGTACTGTACTTCACGCGTATGTGGAGTAGTGTACACTTATTAACGGTTGTAAATACGCCGAGAAAAACTCGTTGGGATCATTTTCACAACTCACAGGAGCCATTTAAATTGAATATATTAGCATAAAAGATTGCGAATATTTAATCTTCTGTTTATAAAGCGTTAGATGTAATCGGAGTTAATGTCGAGTAGACCAAATTTTTAGCCTTCGGTGACGATAAATGAACACGTTACATAATTATATTTTCGCGTAGGATGGTGGCTACGATAAAGAACCGAATCGTTGTATTAACAATATATATATATATATATTTGGATAGATATAATTACTAGCGATATCAACAACGAAATTTCCATACACAGCCTGCAATAAACATATTTCACTTCTAATAGAAAAACGGTAGTCTATCTTTCCTCCAAACACGTGACTAGTTATCGTGACGTCACACAAGGGGCGATCTCGGCGGTGGTTTTTAGGAACACTGTCCGGTTTCTAGATTGATAAGAGATTTACTCATGGCGGCTAGCGTGTTAGCCGCGTGAATTTGATGAACTTGGTCTTTTTCCTTCTGCATGATCTCCTCCCGTTTTTTGGCTTGTTTCCTCTCTTTGGCTCTTCTGTTCTGGAACCAGATTTTAACTTGTCGTTCCGATAAACCTAACATGGAGGCAAGTTCCGATTTTCTTCGTATTGTGATGTAGCGACTGTAATGGAACTCCTTTTCCAATTCCAATCGCTGATGATCCGTATAAACCACCCTGTATTTATCTTTCGTTCTGGTTTTACCTGAAAATATAAAGTTTCGTTTAAACCACAATTTCATTTAATCCAAATTTCTACGTTTATTCCAAGCGCGACCGTAAATTTCGGCTTCCGAAATTCGCTTTTCTATTTAAAAAGTATCATTATCGACGGTAAGAAACATTGAGACAAAACGAAAAAGTCGGCGTGTCACGTGATAACCGAGTCTCCAGGCAACTATACGATGGTGCGAGGCAATCTTATGTCAACATGTCGCGCGATTCTATCAAAGCCACCGACCCGTCATCTCGCTGTTTCCTATCGGAAAACGTATCTTTGTTTGGTATCGGGTGTTGGTGGTCCGACGCCAGCGATAACAAATCGATCGCTATCGCAAAACCTCTGTTTGTTCACGTATTAGGCGCGCACCTAACAAAATTAAAAACCGACTTTTTCGCTTCCTAAATCTAAAATTTACGCCGCAACTTTCCCCTAAAACGTATTGTAAGTTATATAATATATATATACACACACGTATAAAAAGACGAAGCGTTACACGTCACACTATGTTAAAGTCATTGTTTGTATCTCGACCAATGAATGTAACTCAGAAGCCGTGTGACCATACACCACATTCTGACAAGCGGTGGATGTTTACGGTACCCCGAGGGTTAGCAGTAAATTTTCTCTGTTTCTAGCTACCGGTCGTTTATTTTTACCGGACGTCAAAACTTGGACGCAATGGAATATATCCCCCGTCTAACTACCCCCCTATTTATTCATACGTCATAAGGTTAACCCCGTACGCCGCCATGCATCCTTTCTGCCTCATTGAACTCATTCAAATTGAACTAGATATCAAATTGTCATTGTTACTCGTTCGATGCACTTTGGGATTCGAATGCTGCGCGTGTATCACGGCTTTACTTATGAAAATTTTTCTTTTATTACGAATTTTTCCAGCATTTTCATCACTTACTTCCATACTATTCGGAGCCGAGAAACGTCTTTTACCGGAATAACCGAGGGCACCAATTCGAAAGGGGATAAATTTCACCAATTTATACATGTTTAAGTTAGTAAATTAAGATAAAATTAGATAAATAATGGACTTTTAATGCGAAGCGTGGATCCAGTTTAGTCTATCTTCGAAGTAGCTGTGTTGTTCGATGCAATCATCTCACCCGCACCCAATCTGGCACCATTTCTACTCCAAGATTTCTTTCGTGCAGTCACGGATTCTCTTGGGAAGAATATGACGTCTGCGAGCCTCGAATACAGATATAGGTTTACAAACAAGATCCCTTCTTCCCCTAACATCGGGATAACATAAGAAGAGAAAACTTTTCTCGAAATAGTTTTTCCTCCAGCATTTTATCTCCTACGAAATCCCAGTGTTTAAAGCTGCAAAATCGCCTACCATTATTTAATTCCGGTGTTAACGCGCTAAATATTCCAACCAATTGTTTCTCGTGTGTTTTTTAAACGAGCGAGACTAATAAGTAAATGGCCACGAGGGTAAACAGGAGTGCAAATGATAGAAATTCGGAATTATTCAAACGAGAAGGAATGGGAGAGGGGCATCTGGTAAATTTGTTGACAAAGCCCCCCCATTCCGAGTTAAGTACGAGAATCGCGGCCACACGCCGGCCGACAACAATGCGAGGAAGCAGTAAAATCTGTCATTAGACAAAGTTTTATGTTCGTTTTCTATTACCCATCCATTGCTCGGGCTGTCAGGAGGCATTGTCCGACTTAAAATGGCGAAGGATCCTCGTCGTTGTAAACACCTGCCAATTCTTGCGGTTTGCGTAATATTTGCCATACAATCGACGCGTGGAAATCGTCAATTTTCTCACCATAATGGCCAATGCAATTAAATAAAGTAAAATAGTTTCCGCCCGCATTGTTTAATGTATAAAACAGATGGAAATTATCGTAAAAAACTGAAAACTTAAGAGGGTGCATTCAAGTTTTATTGCTGAATCGAGAAGCTAACTTATGTATAAATAGCATAATCTTAAGTTTTAAGTATTTATTCGAATACAATTCGGGTTAAATAACACATAAGTGATTAATGCTACCACACTCCAACTCTTACTCTATTCTAAATTTTAGATTTTTATTTAAAAATGATGAAAGTTTAGTTTAGAATTTAAAAAATTTAATGGTAAATCGCAGCTTTCTATGGACGAGGATACGCATTGACGTAAAGGATTGGCTTAAACCCGTGCAGAAATCCACTCCCCAAACACACATTAAAAATTCCCATAGTTATAGATTAATTACACCCTTTAATTACACTTTTTTAACAAAAATTATCCGGTAATAATCACACGAAAATATCTAGAAATTCGGATTGCTCTTAATGTGCCATAACACTGGATAATGTTCCTAATTAATCGGTTCGATCTCTCACACTCCCGACAGATTGATGGCGTAGTCAATCGCTAACATCTGGGATTATTAACACCCTCGACCACCGCAGGAGGCGGATTAATAATAAATATATGGCTCCACCCTCTTCCCGAGTCATAAAAATATGAAAATAAGAACAATAAAGCATACGAAAACAGATTTAAGAAAAACCTTTTGTGCTTCTATAAAGAGAAGAATCATTCCTTTCTGTCTTTTAAATCGTAAACACTTTCTTAAAGACAGAAAGTGTTTACAAATTAAATAAATGAGTCATCTCACCCGACTCGTCGGGTGAGATGACTCATTTATTTAGATTTATCACTAATTAAGCATTGTACGTGCATTTTTGCATAAGTAATACACAATACAATTGTGTGTATTTCGCATATTTGTCATATTTTTTTAAAAATTCTGTGAATATGCCTCTTCTAAACTCTACAGCCGTTACCGTAAGCGTAACCAAAACAATACAGATCGGTTAACTGATTTTTGCGCCATCCTATTATATGAAAAACAATTCCTCAGTTCTCCGCAACGAAATGAAACAATTTAATACGGGTTACACTTGGACGAGTCGGTGGGGTGAAATTATAAATATATATTTTTTTCAAATTAATGATAAGGCATTTTATATTAAAACAAAAAAAAATATTACCAAATAATTATTTCGTCACTTTGTAACATCGCGTAATAAACAATTGACGAAAATTTAAGTGTGGAATGTAAAATTAAAAAATAGGAAATCGTCCGATAAATTTTCTTTTCTAATAAATAATTACGAAACCGAATGAATATTTAATTACTTTATCAATAATTTAATCAGTTTACTTTGACACTTGCATAATTCAATAACCAAGGAAAGAATAGCTTCGTCTTTACAGTTACGTTTAGTCTACGTGTTCGATTATACGGCAAAATATAAGCTAATTATCTCCACTTCACTATAAAATTTGATAATTTACCACACCCCGGCAATAAACTATAATACCGTCGATAGACCTAAACTCCATTGTAACCGAATTATAACATTTGGTGGAAGGTGATTGGCCTAAAGTAGGCCTTTTTAAATACCACGGGTCCATATTATTTATTGTTATTTTTTTGTGGACCCCCCTTTTGGTAATAAGCCTCTTCTCCGAGTGCGTAAATGAAATTACGTAGAATGACATATAAACTGTTATATCGAAGTACAAGTCGACCCCCCCTATAACACTGTTGATTTTTCCGTTTTATATGAATTCCATCTTGTAGGAGTCACTTAGATTTTACAAATACGTGTGCCGGGCTGTGAACGGCTCACGTATTTGTAAAATCTAAGTGACTCGTACAACATGGAATTCATATTAAACGGAATTATCAACAGTGTTATAGTATTAAACCCAACTCGAATTTCACTTCATTGTGACGATGCTCATGTAGATTTGAATAGACACTAAGTATAGTCCCTTGAATTTAATGTTACTTANCATCTTGTAGGAGTCACTTAGATTTTACAAATACGTGTGCCGGGCTGTGAACGGCTCACGTATTTGTAAAATCTAAGTGACTCGTACAACATGGAATTCATATAAAACGGAAAAATCAACAGTGTTATAGGGGGTTAACTGTATAGGTAACAATATAAATGTTGGAGGTATTATGACGTGTTCGTGCCATAACCAATTATAATTGGGGTGGGAAAATTTCTTATTTTTACGGGTGACAAATTTACAGTAAAGTTTATCGTCTATATTCTACAATTTAGTTAGATGTGTGGTCCTGGAGGAATTAAGGACCTCCGGGGTAGATTTAAAGGTCGTATTTAAAATTAGGAATTTTAATTCATTTTAAATCACCACCTTCTCGTTTTCTAGTTTTATTATTCTCTTAAAACGAAAAATTGTTGACAGTCGTCTAAGGAAACTTGATTTTTCACAGCCTAAATTTAAAATATATAAGAAAAATAGCCAGTGTTTTGTGTGTTGTTTTAAACAATTAACTTTTTTTTTTCTATATTGAACACGTCATTATAACTTGTCACATTTTTATATAAGTTAGAATGGTAATTTTTTTTCCAAGTTTTCAATATTGCATCCGATTTAAAGACTAAAACAGTAAGTCTCCCTTTTATTTAAAATAATAACACAAACACAAAGTATAAAATCCAGTCTGACTTTGTAGAAACTTCTTAACTTTTCCGGTGTTTTGAAAAATAAAAAAATCCAAGCTACTAATGTTCAAAACAATGACATATAAAATTGAAATAAATAAATGAAAGTAATAACATATTATATAAACTAAAAAAAATAATATGGTGTAAGGCCAGAAAATTCAGCTTTCTACCCGAATACTTTTGGTGACAAACGACATAATACAATGGCTTGTTTTCACCGAAACAAAAAGGCCCGGTTTGACTCGGAAACTTAAAGTAGAGAGACGAGGGTAATGAGAGAGGAGGGTATTTAGGACAGGAATTGGGAGCTAAATTGCTCGCCTTGGGCTCGACTAGCAGTCGACAAAGAGCCGCCTGTCATCGATACTCGACCTTTGAATTGGTCTTGCACGTGCCACACATATTTTGATACCCCCTACTTACACATTTGAACACTTTACCTACCGTTTATTTTCAATATAATCGATTATTATTATTATTTTTTGAAGTTTGCAACATCGTATAAACGGGCTGAAAAATACAGTATTTAGGGTTCTACTATTGTTCTTTTCGTATTCTACGTGCCTATTTAAATACTCAAAAAAGGATTTAATTGAATTTTACAGTTAGAATGACTACACAAGAATTTTCTGTCCTTTCTCTACAGATAGAAATTTAAATTTTTAAAGACTTAAGACAGTGTGGGATGACACTTTTTCCCGTTTGTTTCCTGTCATTTTATTTAGAACCCTTATTAAAATAGAACCGAATTAGAAACCCCCCACGCGCCTCTCGAACTATTGTTTATGGAATTAAATTAATATTATTATTATTTTACGACTCACCGGGATTTTGCTGATTTTGGTAAGAGGGTTTTTTCATCCATTCGTAGGGACTTCTGGCCGGTTGAGGTCTGACGGAGGCCGTGCTGACCGAGATGACGTTGGGAGACTCGGGATCGCTAGAGACAGTCAGAGTAGTGTCGGGACTGGGATGGTGGCCCATGTCCGAAATCACGTGACCGGCAGCCCCGTAATCGGCCACCGGAGATGTATTCAGTTGCCTGTACTGCTGGAAAGTTTGTCCGTAAAACGGTTGACTAGTACCCGGAGCTAAACCCAGGTTCTGGTTATTGTTTTGCACGTGAGAACAAGGACTAGCCGAAAGGGGGGAGCCTTGAGCTTGCCCCCAGTCGTCGAAAGCCGTCGATCTTCCGCATGTGGAGACCGGATAAACGGGTGCGGTATGCCACGAAACGTTATTCTGTTGATAGGTCTGGTCTTGCAAGTCCGACGCGGGAGATATTTGCGAAGCACTGTAATGCACCGTTTGCGCCTGACTGGGGCACGAAGATCCGTAGTTGTACGGATTAAAGGGAGCCGTCTGACTCGAATGGCGATTCGGTGAAGAGAACATGGTCGAATGAGACTTGCAGTACAATATCATACTGGTTATTGAAGGTAGGAAAAGTTAGACAGAGAATCCATTCTCCCATTCACTGTGTTTGGCTACCTAACGTCACACAGACGCAAACTTTGATTAATGAAGCCGAGACGGGAGGCGTGAGTCCAAGAGAATCGCTCGTCCTCTCTCCATTCTCACTAAACCACCAATAGCAACCATCCCACTCTCCAATAACCAATAGCGAGACAGGTAGGCGGGCCAAGCATCTAGTGTCGGAAAGGACGTAAGGAACATTAAAAACTCTTTTTTTTTTAATCTGCAGATGGAATTAATTTCATTTTAAATTAATCCGAGCGGCCGCTCTAAACACGTCTTTAGACGTGTTTAGAGGTATTCCAAATGACTAATTTTATTTGGATTAATCAAGTATACTGTATGTAATTCATTTATCTATACTACTCTAGCCTTTAATAAGGCAGCTTTAAGGTTCGAACACCGCGAATTTATAATAGAAATTCATACTAAAAGTTAAAATATTAATTTATAGACAAGATTTTAATATTTCAGACATTCTTACTGTCAAATTACACTTCCTGTAGTCTTCACTGTACTGTCAAATTACTCTCTCTCTCGTGTTTTTTCGTATCTACTGACCCAATCTTCCCCTTAATTAATATGTTTTGGGGTTTAACTTATTAATTAACCAATGATAAGTGGTGTATTTAAAAGAAGAGAGGCATGTTTCGAGTGTCCTGGACGAAAGGTGTAGTTTTCTAAGATATTATTTTCGAAAATAATTAAAATGCGAAAAGTAATTAATACGTACGCGATTATTCTATAGGTTGAAACAATGGGTAAAACATTCCATTAAGCGAGTTAGTTTTATTATTTTACAACCCTTCTAACACTTCCTATGTAATTACACTGTGTTTTCCGGTGTAAAATTTTAGTCACGCGACATTCTTAACACTAATTGTCCGTGCAAACTACAAAGAGAAATAAACGAAAAAGGAATATATTCGAAGCTACATAACTAAAAACACAAGCAATTCCGCCAAAGCTATGCCCCGCAGATGCATAATTTTAAACTAAAATTGTAGATCATTTAGGGAGAAAGTAGTAATAAAATACTAAATTATATTTTCTTAGGATGTAAATATGTTTTAGCAGTCACAAAACAAAAGGGTGTCTCGTATTGTTCGTGGCCCCCAGAGTGAAAAATGGATCTAGTAGTGTTTAAACATACATTATTTTTGAAAATGTTACTCGTATATCGACGTATAAATTAGTTAGAATCATTATATGAGCCTTTTAATGTAATATATGTAAAATTTTATTCTATTTTTGAAGATGCAAACGGGAATTTATGGTCTCCCAAATTACACACGAACGGAAAATGCGTGTGTTCATCTCAGTCTTATGTCTCGGGCCGGTGTTTTCTTAATTTTAATAAATAGAAACTTTATATATATATATATATATATATAAAGATATTATATGGATTAAACCGTGTTAAGTCTAGAAAAGATTGTATTATAAATGCTGGAGACAAATGAGTAGGCCTAATTCAAACTTCTTTGAAAAATATTACGGAGACGGACACATTCTATTTAAATTTCTAACTAGACATTAATTAAATTTCAATTATCGAAAATAAGTCGGCATTTTTTTAAAAATTTCCTCCTAACTTATTGGTAAATTATACTCGTAGAAGGCCCGTATTAAGCCGAATTGTGCAGTATAAAGAATAGGCCTTCTCAAAGTATGGCTGTACGAAGCTTTCCTAAGACAAGGCTGGATCGAAAGCTATACTAATGCTTTACTCTAGCGATTTATGCGGAGAATTTAAAGTTCTTTTGGTAATTTTTCGCTCCGGCTTAAGAATTGTTTACATTTGACGTGTCTAATTGACTAATCTAATTATTGATTTCGGAAGTTTTGAACGAGAATTTATTTTTCGACCTTCGTTTATTTACTCGACATATTATTAGGTGAGATAATGCCGACAAATAGATCTTTGACACCCTCTTAATGAATATCAAAGCATCCGAACGACGTTTTTATCTTCTAAACTGGTTTCTTACATAGTACAAAACACGTAGAAAAAGTAAAATTGGAATATTTTAGGGAAGGATAATGGAATCAAAAGGCATATTTTACGCTTAAAATCGTTACATTTTGCCCATAAAATATTTATTTTTAGACAAAATTTCGGACCGTGTTTAGAATATAATTAAAGGAAACGTTGGAATGGGAAGTTTCTAAATGGCACAGGGTCGTAAATAGGGTGTTTGGGGGACATACCATAGAACTAACCGCGGCACATTTTTATAGCACCTCCAATCGACCGTCACCAGCCGACAGGCCACACGTGTCCATAAAGAAAAGCTAATTGGGGAGGTCGGTCGTTTGACAAATAGCTTGTCTCTTACTTCTAACGAATATACTCGAGGGATTTTTTTTAGTATATTCCGCAAATTTCGGCCTTAAAAATGGGAACAAAAGCTATATATAATTATTCTGGACCGGCCTACATCAATACGCAGCCGAATTATGGTACATATACGACTGCAAAAACGTTCGGATTCGAGCCCGTAATTTAGTGTAGGGCTTAACCACTCGTATATTAATGAGTTAATCGGAAGTAAATTTCGATTATCTGGACAAAATTTATGCTTAAAACTTGGTATCGTAATTAATACGGAAGACCGAAAGATTCGTTTATTTACGAGTTTTACGTCGTTGTAAAGGCGAATTTAAGGTGGTTTACGGCTAATTTCTAACGGTTGATTTACCTGTAAGGCGTGTAATTTAATTGGCCGAAAATCGTGTCTAAATAAGGTTTATTTTTCTCCAGTCTTTAGTTGCTATTTTACGATTCCGTCGGCAATTTTTATTGCACCAAAACCCGAATTTAGACAGAAATTACTCGTAATTAATCAATGAAAAAACTTATTTTCTATGCATTTTAATTATTATTAATTGAAACAGAACTTTGTATAAGTTAAATGGCAAATGTCCTTTACTTTTTACAAATACAATTAACAATACAATAGAATTCAATATACAGTATGTTGTATTTATAATACTAGTAATTTACATTAAAAATTACTACAGAATGTAATTTAAATATCCGAAGTTAACGTATAACAAAATATTATATGATAATTACTTTAAATTAATATAGAATATTGACTTTTTAATGTTTTATCTGTTCAACTTTAATTCCCAACTCCAGATTTACGTTAGAAATGTTAAGAAACTTGGGAATTTATACAGTGGCCCACTTATACACTAGGATATAATTTCCAGATTTGGAGAGGTTGTTTGTCGGGAGACTGCATTGTCCACCCGATAAAGTAGAAAAGAAGCGGAGTAGCATTAGACGACAACCTTTAATTGGTTAGGAGTGGTCGACAAATAGATCCCGAGAGAATTAGGCCTACAAAACCCACGAAATCCTCTGGGCATAGTGACCAGCCAGACCCGCTCCCATCTTACCAATCGTCCATCACTTTAACGGTCTCTCCAAAACTACCGTTCGACTCTCCGAGGAGACTGCATTCTTTCCTCCACCCTCTCTTTGTTCGCTTTTATATATAATTCACTAGAAACTCGCAATTCTCTACCATCCGCTTCACTCGATTTTCTTCTTTTTTATACCTCGTCGCGTGCTCCAACAGCACCCTTTACGATTGTAATCTGTCTACCGATTATCTACTCCGTGTCGCCTCTGAATTTCAATCCTTTTACATATTTGTAATAACTGGAAATTACTTAGGGGTGCTTTAATAGTATAATAAATTATATGTAGAAAAGGGTCTGAATTTAACACAAGTATACTCGATTTAACCCATTCGGAAAGGTACGTACGACCTCGACAATACCTTTGTAAGGATGAATCTACGTCAGTGTTTTAAAGTATTTTGGGGGGGGCATATTTTCGTTTATAACGAGTCCAGACGTTAAATCGAGGTGTAGTAAATAGTGCAAATATAACCTGTAATAAATAGGCTGTCGATAGATAATTAAAAGTATTTTTTTTCTTGTATAAATCGGAAAGAACTTCAGTTGAGGTTCTGTGGAAAATTAGCAAACTCGTTATACTTTAATTATATTTTGAAGGTGAGAACGAGTGAATTAGCAATAACATAATAAATTAGCCACCACCAGATGTTTTGCATAGGAGGGAACCGTCGTAAAACGACAATAAAGACGGAAAGAGTGTCACCAAAAATCATAAATATTTCCACCACCTTCCGGAACAAGAATCCAAACGTCTACAATATTTACGACGGGGTGCCGAGGAAATTTGTCCCGTAAACCCACTTACTAATTGGGATCCGGGGATGGACCGAGCCACGTGACTGCCCGTATTGATCCGCCGGAGGTCGTATACTCGTCAACAATGAGTCACGCGCAATTAGCACTCGTTTGTCGAATCTTTCGGATTCTAAGAGTTAATTCGAAATAAATAAATAAATTTGAAGAATTAAATGCAATTCCCCGATAAGTCAATAATCTCTCTCTCTGGAAGGTTACGTATTTTTTTTTACGATAAAAAGAAGAAATAACCTGAAAAATATGTGGTTTTAATCTTATTTTTTTTGATGATTAAATAGAATTTTTATAGATAAAATGGAAATTTTTATCTAAGAAAATGTAAATCTTTGATTAAATAAAATTTCGGAGATTAAGTCCTATCGTTATGCACTTTTCCCATAAGTTTCATTCGGCTTTTTTAGTTAAACTTATGGAAATTTATGGAAGATTATAATTAACAGAAGAGAAGTTTTAACTTCTTAAAACTGTTTGGGGTTAGAGATATTAGTTAAGAAAGGAGCCGTTTCGATCGGACACTTGTTACGACTGCAGATAGGAGTAAAAGCATTCGTTGATTTTGCTAGAGATAAAGAGGCGCCTGGCTGCACCGTCTTTACAAACACCGAATTTAGCAATTGTTTAACCTTCGGAAAGCGATTTCGAAGTTAAACGATGCGTAATAATTAGACCACACGCGATGTAAAAGTCACTCTCCCTTGTTTTGTAAGCCGAATGATTACCGTTCCTTCGTGCAACGGTTTAGTTTATCTTTA